CTGAAACACACGCTGATAGTGATTCCAAGCGCAAGGGAGTGCCCTCTTCAATACGCGTCAAGACAGTGACATTTTAAAGAAAATATTTCGGCAAACAGAAATGGAAGTCATAAGCTACGCTATACTGTATCTTTCCGCATTCAAATTGGTATGTTCCTTGAAAGAGCAGTTCAAAACCACTGGCATTCCCGGAATTACACACACCTGTCCTGAGAGTTTCTTTACGTCCAGTTTCGCTGACACCTACAGACAGTGTCTCCAATACTGCTGGATGACCACGCGATGTACAGCTTGTACATGGATTCCAAGATCCTCCGTTTGTCGACGGTGGATATTCCGTGCCGCCTGAGACTCCGGTGAATACCAGCTGTCTCCTCACAGAAGCATCGACATCACATCTGGTGAGTAACAGTATCTGTTTCTTCACAGAAGCATCGACAAACTTCTGTTGAGTAACAGTATCTGTTTCTTCACAGAAGCATCGACAAGCATCTTTTGAGTAAAAATATCTGTTTCTTCACAGAAGCATCGACAAGCATCTGTTCAGTAACAGTATCTGTTTCTTCACAGAAGCATCGACAAACATCTGTTGAGTAACAATATCTCTTTCTTCACAGAGGCATCGACAAACATCTGTTGAGAAACAGTATCTCTTTCTTCACAGAAGCATCGACAAACATCTGTTGAGTAACAGTATCTGTTTCTTCACAGAAGCATCGACAAACTTCTGTTGAGTAACAGTATCTGTTTCTTCACAGAAGCATCGACAAACATCTTTTGAGTAAAAATATCTGTTTCTTCACAGAAGCATCGACAAGCATCTGTTCAGTAACAGTATCTGTTTCTTCACAGAAGCATCGACAAACATCTGTTGAGTAACAATATCTGTTTCTTCGCAGAAGCATCGACATAACATCTGTTGAGTAACAATATCTGTTTCTTCACAGAGGCATCGACAAACATCTGTTGAGTAACAATATCTGTTTCTTCACAGAGGCATCGAAAAACATCTGTTGAGTAACAATATCTGTTTCTTCACAGAACCATCGACAAACATGTGTTCAGTAAAAGTATCTCTTTCTTCACAGAAGCATCGACAAGCATCTGTTGAGTAACAGTATCTGTTTCTTCACAGAGGCATCGAAAAACATCTGTTGAGTAACAGTATCTGTTTCTTCACAGAGGCATCGACAAACATCTGTTGAGTAACAATATCTGTTTCTTCACAGAGGCATCGACAAACATCTGTTGAGTAACAATATCTGTTTCTTCACAGAGGCATCGACAAACATCTGTTGAGTAACAATATCTCTTTCTTCACAGAAGCATCGACAAACATCTGTTGAATAACAATATCTGTTTCTTCACAGAAGCATCGACAAACATCTGTTCAGTAACGGTATCTGTTTCTTCACAGAAGCATCGACAAACATCTGTTCAGTAACAATATCTGTTTCTTCACAGAACCATCGACAAACATCTGTTGAGTAACAATATCTCTTTCTTCACAGAAGCATCGACAAACATCTGTTGAGTAACAATATCTGTTTCTTCACAGAAGCATCGACAAACATCTGTTGAGTAACAGTATCTGTTTCTTCACAGAAGCATCGACAAACATCTGTTCAGTAACAGTATCTGTTTCTTCACAGAAGCATCGACAAACATCTGTTCAGTAACAATATCTGTTTCTTCACAGAAGCATCGACAAACATGTGTTCAGTAACAGTATCTCTTTCTTCACAGAAGCATCGACAAACATCTGTTCAGTAACAGTATCTGTTTCTTCACAGAAGCATCGACAAACATCTGTTCAGTAACAATATCTATTTCTTCACAGAAGCATAGACAAACATCTGTTCAGTAACAATATCTATTTCTTCACAGAAGCATCGACAAACATCTGTTGAGTAACAATATCTGTTTCTTCACAGAACCATCGACAAACATCTGTTGAGTAACAGTATCTGTTTCTTCACAGAAGCATAGACAAACATCTGTTGAGTAACAATATCTGTTTCTTCACAGAACCATCGAGAAACATCTGTTGAGTAACAGTATCTCTTTCTTCACAGAAGCATCGACAAACATCTGTTGAGTAACAATATCTGTTTCTTCACAGAAGCATCGACAAACATCTGTTCAGTAACAGTATCTCTTTCTTCACAGAAGCATCGACAAACATCTGTTCAGTAACAATATCTATTTCTTCACAGAACCATCGACAAACAACTGTTGAGTAACAGTATCTCTTTCTTCACAGAAGCATCGACAAACAACTGTTGAGTAACAGTATCTGTTTCTTCACAGAAGCATCGACAAACATCTGTTCAGTAACAGTATCTCTTTTTTCACAGGCCCCGTGCGTATTGCAGGTACGAATATATGTCCCTAGCAAGTAGTTTGCTGTGTCATTACCAAACTGTAGATTACTAAAGCGCTTTCTCTCAATGACCACAAGCAAACAGGGAAACAGAACAAACTTCACCTCGATCAGTTCACAGTTCATGAAATATTTAACATGGTTTGACAACGTTAATGGTAACGCGAGGAGTTAATGTTTTTAAGCAACTTAATTGACATTGATCATTTACGAAAAAAGGGCGGTAAGGTACAGGCTGGTACACGAACAGGAGTAAGTAGTGAGTGAGTATGGTTTTACGCCGCTTTTACAAATATTCCAGCAATATCACGGCGGGGGACACCAGAAATGGGCTTCACACATTGTACCCATGTCGAGATTCGAACCCGGGTCTTTAACGTGACGAGCGAACGCTTTAACCACTAGGCTACCCGACCGCCCCTCAGGATACGTGGAGGTATTGGACGTACCGTGCTTCTCAATGTGTCCAAAACAGTACCAGTGAGTAAAACAAATGGGTTAAGAGCCAGTATATACCAGTAGTATACCTAGTTTTGTCAATTACTCTGGACATGGACTGTTTCACGATTCAATTCAGAATCTAACCACACACTAATACATAAAAGGGGAATAAATTTCGACTCTAGTACTAATTGAATTATCATGTTTGTTTGTTTTATGTTTAACGCCGCACCCTGCAATGCACACTCAATTATTCACGTACCACCGTCATAAAACTGTATTGTATGACGGTGGTATGTAAATAATCGAGTCTGGGCCTGACAATTCACTGACTGACATCATATAAACAGCTATCCACGCTATTTGGATACGATGTCATGCATCAACCAATCGTTAGTTGAGTCCGTATGGACAGTGTGCATTGGTGACAAAGACCATTTATCATTTGATTCTAAAATGTATGAGGATTTCTGGGATGTATATATCGCAGCTGAGAAAAATAAGTGATGTAATAGGTGTCTCATATCCGGCTTACGTGAACCTGATTTTGTAAACACTGTCCAATATGGCGTTCGAGTTTGCGTATTTTCCAAAAAATTCTAAACGATTGTAGGGTTATCGCCGACGTTTCACAATGATCAGTGGTGAGAGAAAACATATGCTATTTTTGAAATTCAATTCTCCGAGTTAATATCAAATATTTTGATTTCAAAACATTCACTAAATAACGCCGTGAATGGTGATTTAGTAGTGTGTCCAAAATTGTGAGATTTACGATGTTCCTAATTTTCAGCATCTTCCATATAAAAGTCCAGTTTCCACCCTTGCTGAACTAGTCTGGAATTATGGAGTTATATTTTGGCTGGACTAACAAGTCTTTGCATAGTCCAATCAAAATCGCGTAACGAAATCGACATCCAGTTCGTAAACTGCCGTGGATTTCGGTCGATTGAAGGATTTGCGTCAACATACCTTCAACAGAAATTCTCCAAATCTTTTTTATGTTTTCAATCAAGGTGCTCACGTGAGTTGATGGACTCTGCAAAGTAAGACCCGTTTTATTACTGTATATAGATCTCGATTATCAATCAGACCGTCTTCACTGGCGCCGCCAATGCAAGTCAGTGCAAGTGCTATAAGAGGTGGAAGATGATTGGTCAACCGGAGGGACATAGAAGGGACATTACTCGTAATAGCCACTGGTAGGGCTACGATCGAGTCCAGAAATTCCACAGATTTTGTTCTTTTCTTAAAGAGTAATCCATCCTGTTCATGTATGTACCTCATGTCCTCAGAGTAAGCATCACCCATGTCATGGACGTCCCTGTGATGCAGCTCAGACATGTGCTGCTGTGGAGGCAGCATCCAGCTTCATCTGCTTATCTGTGCCAGGTGACTATATGTTTGTACCATGATTCTTCAAAACATTCACGTTTTTATCTTAAAAGGAGGGGCAGAGTAAAGCATTTTTCACAACAAAATTATAGGACATCCAGCATGTCAAGCAAACGGGTCATCATTTATGTTTTTGTGTATTTCTTTTGGAAAATCTCGGACGCATTAGTTCCCCTAAAGCCAACCATCGCAGAATACCAATTGATCTGTACTAATACAAGTAACACAAGTCTTAACAACAATGTCAGTCATAGCCGTCTTTGCCATATTTAATAAAACATTACAATTCTTGATTTTGGTGGAACAGCTAATATACATTTAGGCTGCTCCAAAACCAGATATTGTTTTCCAAATGTGTCCCCCCAATCCACGCCACCCAATCACGGAACATCCATAACAGCAGCATTCTATTTCAGTTGCAGCGACAACCTTCGCAACTGCCGCTACAACTACAGCTTCTACTACGACCACCCCTACTACCACCACTCCAACCAGTACAACTCCTCCCCCTCCTCCTCCTACTACCACCGCAACTACTACTACTACTACTACTACTACTACTACTACTACTACTGATGCTGATGCTGGAGTTGCTGATGCTGCTTCCACAACTACTCCTACTACTGCAATTACTACCTTTGCAATTGCCACTGCAACTACAATTGTAACTACTACTGCTGCTGCTGTTACTGCTAATTCTACTACGACCACTACAACAACTACCACCACTTCTACTTTTACAACACCAACTACTACTACTACTACTACTACTACTACTACTACTACTACTACTACTACTACTACTACAACACCGGAAACTACAACTTTGCTGATACCTTGCAGTAAGAATGATTTTATTACGCGTTTACCAAGTATAATTGAAAATTATAGCTACCAGCAGCACAATAGCGCTATTTGGGTGGTGGTGTAGTCTCGTGGTTAAAGCGTTCGCGCATGATGTTGTAGGCCGGCTGTTCGATTCCTCACATGCCTTCAGCGTTAAACCCATTTTTGCTGTCCACCACCGTGATGTTGCTAAATATTGCTATATGTGGAGTAAAGCCATACTCACTCCACCATTTCTACGTGGATTATCCCGTTTGACATACATGGAGGTATATTTGGATGGTCTATCATTAGGCTATACAGAAAACCGATATTCTTCATGGCTTTAGATGTCATATTATACAAATCCCGGTTTCGGAACGCGCGCTTACTTAGTAGACGTTGAAACAAGAAAGTCTGATGTTTATATCTCCTATTTAAGAACGTTATTGGTACGTGGAGTTTGTATCACGTAAGTACAGATTTCGAAAAACACCATTTCTAACTGCATTGGAACTTACACACAGAAAGTCTGTTGGTTCTCGATCATTTGTAAAAAAATTGATTATATTAGTACATCCGGTTTGGGTGACCTAACTTCCGGTTTCACAAAACACATTCCTCCTGCATTAAGCCAGAATGCCCAATGGTCCTGGTAGGTCAGTTTGAAATGAAATAATTGGTACCTTCTTTGAGCTCGATTAAAATTAAATCATATCAAATAAATTACTGTAATTTACTTTGGAACAAAGTTTGTTTTCATGGAAACCAGGGGGCACGTATGACTCAGTCGTCGAAGGCGCCGCTATTCGCTGTGCAGAGTTGCGTCCCTTGGCCGCGCCAGAAACCTATGATTGAGGGTTCGAATCCAGGTTCGCCCCGATTATGTTTCTAGGTTTGTCATCACCATACCCGTGCTTGTGGGTTTCACTGAAGTGGTAAACCACTGAGACCTGCATCACTTCGGGCTTTCCTCTCACATTAATACCGTTAAGAGCGGCATTAAACCCAACTCACTCACTCATTCATGGAAATCAGCTAAATCCATAATTCTCATATTATACTAACGCTTCTTTCAATATCTTTTTCGCGGCAGTTTGCATGCAAGGTTTACATAAAAGAACTCAAAATAATTTATGGGATTTGATCGAACGGAATAAATTGTCCGAGGAAACAAAGGCTTGAAATAAATATAAGTATGCTTAAGACTGTTGCAAAAAAGAAAAGAAATTGTCTGCTATAAAAATTACATTATTGCAATATGTGTAAGTTTAAAAAAGATTTTAAAAACCAAAACAATCATTATGTATAAACTTAAATAGTATCTCTGGTATCTCTATAAATAGAGCGGTCTGCTTTGACGATGAAGGTGTTTCATTTCAACAGGAGCGACTATGATGTGATGATCCCTCTATGCGTTTGATTGATATATCCATGCAGTGTCATCAACTATACACGTATCTATATATTATCTGAACCACAGAAGTATTTGTATACAAGTAATAACTAAGTTCATTGTCATGAGGTTTACAATCTTTACGTCATGTGTAAATTTAATTCTAACTTAACGGCAAATACATTTTATCATCCCTTCTCCAGAACACCCATTTGGTGTATATTATCACGGAACGCTGACAATAACCCATAAGCAGCATAAACTCATTGTGGATTAGGGATTAGCAAGGAAAGTAGTGTCCGGTGGCCGTTAGCACTTGCAAATGTCTGGTAAATACCCAATTGAGTAGTGACGGCTTAGTAAGTAGTGCGTTTACAATCTCATTGACTGATATTCTACTTATCAAGTCAAATGTACTACAGTAAAGTACGGTTATACCGAACTCAAAGGGACTACTAATTTTAGTTCGTTATAACCGTAGTTCGTTATAAGCATAAATACAGCATAACTACAGCAAATAGTCTGGACCAAAAAAGTAAGTTCGTTATATCCGCCAGTTCGTTATAACCGTGTTCGTTATAACCGTAGTTTACTGTATGTAACATGTCTGCGGGGACTTGTGAAAACTTAAGTACAAGAGATAAATAGTACAAAATGTGAGATTTGTTTTATAATAGAGGAACGTTTTCGCTGATAGCAGTGGAATATCTATTACTATCATTATACATGTGGGGGGTTGTAAGAGGAGTCTGTGTTCCAAACTTTAAGAATAGTTTATCTCAAAACGTCTTGTATGGTATTTAAGAGGAGTATTGTATGATTTCATTCATGCGTCCCAAAGAGGGACAGGTCAGCCGAAATTGCTATGACAGAAGACGACCTCTCAAACACCTAAAGCAATGTATTTCATAATATATATTTCATATGTATTTCATATGAAATTCTCTATTTTGATTTCAGGTTTCGAGTACATGGGTTGTTATCTCGATGACCGAAACAGAATGTTAAAGGACTTCCGGGAGGAAAGTGATGTTATGACTCGGGACTGGTGCTTGGTGAAATGCAGAGAGGGCAACTATACATTTGCTGGTCTGGAGGTAAGTGAATACGCGTTTCACGTTGATTTACTTCGGATGTAACGAACTGAGTTTGATAGTCCCAGACACAATTGATTTTCGTCATATCCTGAGTAGACTGTATATCACAACGACTTTTGTTTCCCTTTCAGCACTACAAACATTGCTTCTGTGGCGACTCCTATGTTGAGTCCGTGTACCCAAAGAAGGCCGAGTCCGAGTGTAACACGCCATGTACAGGGAATCCACAACAGATGTGTGGAGGCGTGTGGAGACTGTCCGTGTTTATATGTCGCTGACACAGGTCAATTGATGTACATGGGGAATAATTGAGTTATAAGTGTTTCGTATTTCCCATAGGCACAATAATTCAACATAAGTTTAGTACCATTTTATTATCTTCAAACAAGGTTCCAATAACCCCAGTCCGCTTTCATTACCCACCAACAAAAACATTTAAACCCTGTGTTCAAGTTAAAGGCCACTGTCTTATGCAACTCGCGTTTATAATCTTTTTGAGTGTCTTTCTGTGAGGTTGACGAGGTAGATTAGGGTTGTGCCGAAAATAGAAATAAAACTAAACTAATGTCCAAAAGAAACGATACCACACATTTTTCTAAATATTTTATTATGAAGAGTTAATTTTCGTCTGAAAAGGTACTTTTGCGTATCCTACGTTCAAAACCAAACGTATTCGGTCTATAAAACCGGGAACATTTGATCTATTGAGAAAAAAGCGTGCAATTTGCCCAAATGACGTTCCGTCCCGTAACACGAAATGCACGTGCATATCTTCTGTATAAAACTGCTGACCCGACACGTTGGGATCACAGCAACAAAAAGCACACAAAAGAAATGCCACGTTTGACAGCGATTGAGAGAGAGAGAGCCGTAGGAATGTTCTAACAGGGAGCTACGCACCGCGACGTCGCCAGAAGGTTAGGATGCGCGCGCATAACCATCACCAGGTTAATGCAGCGGTTGCGTCAAACAGGTCGGACAGCAGACAGGCCGAGAACCGGGAGACCACGGGTGACAACGCCTATTGAAGACCGCCACATCCGGGTACTTCACCTTCGGAACCGCTTCGTAACGGCGACGTTAACGGCACGGACGGCACTGGGACACGTGAAAAGTCGACAAAGCGTATACAGGAGACTGCGGGCACATGGTATCCGAGCACATCGCCCCTGACACCTAAACACCGACTCAACAGACGGATATGGGCCAGGCGACTTCGACGGTGGCAACGGTTGAACTGGGCACGTGTCATGTTTTCTGACGAAAGCAGATTTTGCATCTTCAGGAACGACGGCCGGCAGCGTGTGTACCGAACTGAGGTGAACGTTTGGCACCGAACTGCATCCATCAAGTCAGGCCATTTGGAGGCGGAGGTTTAATGGTTTGGGGTGGAATCTGCGGTGACGTCAAAATGAGACTAGTCGTTATTCGAGGAAACCAGAATGCGCAGCGTTATCGTGATGACATCTTACAACCAGTTGTGGTGCCATTCATCCAACAACAGCCTAATGGTATCATTTTCCAGCACGATAATGCGAGGCCTCACACGGCAAGGCTGACCCAGAACTTCATCATGATTGAAAAGGATTGATTACAATGAATTTTTGTACACATACTGTGAAAACATTACTCACAAGTCATATACCAATTTGAAAAGTCTGTATCGTTTAGTTTTTTTGTAATGTCCTTTCAAACACGTGGTATCGTTTCTTTTGGACATTAGTTTATTTTGAACCTGACTTTATTCAGGGAATTTATGGAATGATGACCAACATGTATCCCATTAACTACATTGTTACTTACTATGCCTCTTTGTATGCACCACCCAAAGTTGTATAAAAAGTGTATACTTTCTACACCCTTAGCTTTAGGTATGTCGGTGATCTAAAATCGTTGAATAACGACCAAATAGCCAATTCCCTTCCACTGATTTACCCACCTAAACTAGATATAAAGGAGATTAATGAAACCACCTGATCTGTATCATATTTAGATCTATGCATAAAGATTCAGAACGACTAAAATAAAACTATCCACTAGCCTGGATGACACGAGGGATGACTTCAACTTTCCAACTTTCCTTTTGGGTCGAGCAATATTCCAGCAGCTCCAGCCTTTGGTATCTGCATATCTGTACGGGTGGCCCAGTCTAAGGCGCCGCGATTCGCTGTGCAGAGTTGCGTCCCTTGGGCACACCAGAAACCTATGATTGGGGTTTCGAATCCCGGTCAATTAATGTACATTGGAATAATTGAGCTGAAAGTGTTTATATTTCCAATTAGCACAATAATTCAACATAAGTTTAATAAAATTTTATTATCTTCAAAAACGTTCCAATACCCCTAGCCGCTTTTATTCCCCACCAGAAGAAAATATTAAACCCAGTGTTCCAATTAAAGGCCTCTGTTTAAAAGTTGTTTGATCGAGGGTGCAACACCCAAGGCCTCAGTAAAGCTTTCAAAAAGTTGTGGAGGACACCTCCTGCGATTTGACATGGAAATTGTACCATATATGCTCCAGTGTTTTTCGGGCGAACAATTGACTCACCTTCGCCTAGGTTTGTGGCCGGTGCCACCATTTGGGTAGTATACGCTCACCTTTTCGCGAACACCTGGTGTCATTACTATGTGAGAGTGATTCTATAATTTGTTTACGCATTTTATTGACTTTAGAGTCTCGTAAGCCATACTGGCCGGACATTGTACATATCTACCCGAACTACATAGCATTTGTATGTTGTACGATGCGTGACACTCAAATAAAAATACTTCCTTCTAATTCTTCTTCCTCTTCTTCTTCTTCTTCTTCTTCTTCTACTTAAACTCCGACTGGTCAGTAACCTGGTCCGACTCTGAGTTTTGTGACAGCCACTGTGACACATCAGTATCAGCTATTGGTAACCCGGTCAATAATGATGCGTCTAACATTCCCAATGCTGGACAGTTTATGAACCAGCTACTTGTAGCCCTGAAACAACAATATGCTGAGGATGATAGGTACGGTTGTAGGTGAGGCTATTAGACCTACCCTAAGGGAGGTAATATCTCAAGTTATCGAGCAAACCAATGTCAGTATTACAGGTATCCCTGAAAAAGCTGAAGAGTCAACCGATGAGATTGTAGTTGACGTCGCTAAATCAATTGATATGGTTATATCCCTGGTGAATATCGAGGGAGGGGGAGCACAGGTGGCCCAGTCGTCTAAGGCGCCGCGATTCGCTGTGCAGAGTTGCGCCTCTTGGGCACGCCAGAAACTTATGATTATGGGTTCGAATCCCGGTTCGCCCCGATGATGTTTCTAGGTTTGTCAGCACCATACCCGTGCTAGTGGGTTTCACCGAAGTGGTAAACGTCTAAGACCTGCATCACTTCGAGTTTTGCTCCCACATTAAGCTGACACGCCTTGATATAACTGGAATACTGTTAAAAGAGGCGTTAAACCCAACTCACTCACTCACTCACTCAGGCGGCAGAGGACAATTTGGTATAATTTAAAGTAATTTATATGACGAAGTTATTCTCTCACACCACCACGTTTGCTCGTCACGCCGGAGACCCGGGTTCGATTCCCGACATAGGTACAATGTGGAAGCCTATTTCTGGTGTCAATTGAATTGATAGCTCTATACTACACTCCCAATTCTGTCCATGGTAATATTGTTTGATTTATAATACCCATGATGGATGTAACTTGTGGAAACGCTTCCCTATCTACTTTGTTTTTATTATTATTGTATGTTTTCATAGAATCTGTTTTTCACACAAACATTAAAACTATTCAATTCAGTAAGTGATGAACCAATGTATGACATAAATAACAACTTTGACAACAATATGAGTCTGTTTATTTTGAAAAACACTGACTATGGGTGACAAAATCAGAATAGTATCACCAAACTGCAGGGCCTAGCAGATAAAGGAAAACATATTTTACATCATCATTGCAAAGTTTTCAACATCTACAAAGCCATAGTGCATTTGCACGTAAAAATTAGGATATTTGCAAAGTAGTATGTGTTATTGTCAACCTTTTTGCAAATGTAACTGAGACCTTGGCTGTTGTAACTCTGATCAAACAACTTTTGAACAAGAGGTGAGTGAGTGAGTGAGTGAGTGAGTGAGTGAGTTGGGTTTAACGCCGCTTTTGACAGTATTCAAGCTATATCACGGCGTGTCAGCTTAATATGGGAGGAAAGCCCGAAGTGATGTAGGTCTCAGACGTTTACCACTTCGGTGAAACCCACGAGCACGGGTATGGTGCTGACAGACCTAGAAACATAATCGGGGCGAACCGGGATTCGAAACCCCAATCATAGGTTTCTGGTGTGCCCAAGGGACGCAACTCTGCACAGCGAATCGCGGCGCCTTAGACTGGGCCACCCGTCCTCTCTCTCTCCACTCAATTATTCCCCATGTACATCAATTGACCTGTGTCAGCGACATATAAACACGGACAGTCTCCACACGCCTCCACACATCTGTTGTGGATTCCCTGTACATGGCGTGTTACACTCGGACTCGGCCTTCTTTGGGTACACGGACTCAACATAGGAGTCGCCACAGAAGCAGTGTGTGTAGTGCTGAAAGGGAAACAAAAGCCGTTGTGATATACAGTCTACTCAGGATATGACGAAAATCAATTGTGTCTGAGACTATCAAACTCAGTCCGTTACATCCGAAGTAAATCAACGTTAAACACGTATTCACTTACCTCCAGACCAGCAAATGTATAGTTGCCCTCTCTGCATTTCACCAAGCACCATTCCCGAGTCATAACATCACTTTCTTCCCGGAAGTCCTTTAACATTCTGTTTGGGTCATCGGGATAGCAACCCATGTACTCGAAACCTGAAATTAAAAAAGAAAATACACATGAAATACATAAGCACAAGATCCTGGATCATGTTAACCATGTACACGGTATAACGAGTAGCGGCCAGATCAGAAAGAGTGCTTGGGTGACCTCCGAATATTACTTGTCTTCTCCACATGGAGGCGATCTCATGATTGCATGATGTCACGTTCGAACAATATTAAGTGTGTATGTGTCGTTGTTCTAACGTCACACTCCGCAATGTTTAAGCGATATGACGGCGGTCTGTAAATTATTGAGTCTTGAACAGAAAATCCAGTAATGGACATCATGAACATCGGTCCACGCAATAGGGATACGATGACTCAACCAATGAGCCTGACTACCCGATCAGTTAACAGCCTCTTACGACCATCAATTAGTTGATCCATATGCTGGACACATTATGGATTCTTAAGCAGGGTTTGACATACACTAACAACATCAACTGGACCATTGGCAAGTATTTGCTGCTGGAATATTCTTGACGTAATGGGAAAGTTTAACTCCCTTATAAAGTCAAGTTTGATTTCCATCGCAAGTTGGCAACTCAACGAAAGAGAGATGAGAAGTCGAATCCTACATGACCTTCTTAAAGAGACATTTTCGAACGTAACAACGGTAGTTTTAATGTACCGATACAAAATGGTGATAAAAAGTGTAACCACTGACAGTATTAGCATTAGCAGTATAAACGCACTACTTACAAAGCCGTTACTACTCAATTGAGTAATAGCAAAATAATTGCAAGTGCTAATGCCTACCCGACACTACTTTCCTTGCTAATCCACAATGAGTTCTTGTTGCTAGCGACCCGAAATAATAATCACCAAAGGTGTGTTCTGGAGAAGAGATGAAGTATTTAGTGTTTATTTAGGATTAAATGTAAACATGACGTAATGATTGTAAACCTCTTAATTTAGTCGTTATTTGTATGTATATAATTCTGTGGGTTAGACAAAATATATATAGATACGTGTATAGTTGGTGAGACTACGTGGATCTATCAATCAAACACATAAAGGGATCATCACATCATAGTCGCTCCTGTTGAAATGAAACACCTTCATCGTCAAAGCAGACCGCTCTCTGAGATACTGTTTAAGTTTATACATAATGATTGTTTTTTTAAATATTTGTTTTAACAACACACATTGCAACAATGTAATTTTTATGGCAGATAATTTCTTTCTTTTGCAACAGTCTGAAGCATACTTATATTTTTCAAGCTGTTCTTTCCTGATTGAGTGAGTATGGCTTTACGCCGCTTTTAGCAATATTCCAGCAATATCACGGCGGGGGACACCAGAAATGGGCTTCACACGTTGTACCCTTGTTGGGAATCGAACCCGGGTCTTCGGCGTGACGAGCGAACGCTTTAACCACTAGGCTACCCTACCGCCCCTCTATCCTGAGACTATTCAGTTCGATCAAATCCCATAATGATTTTTAGTTTCTGTTATGTAAGCATTGCATGCAAAATGCCGCGTAAATATATTGAAAAAAGCTTTATTGGAATATGAGAATTTTGGAAAATGTTATTTTTGCTGGTTTGTTCAAAATTAAGCTACTGTAATTTACTTGTTCAGATTCAATTTTAATGCAGCAAAAGTTTTATGTTAAAAAAGAAGTGATAAAGTGCAAAATGAAGGTACTAATAACTTCATTTCAAACTGATCTACCAGAACCCATTCTGGCTTAATGCAGGAAGAATGTGTTTTCTGAAACCGAAATTAGGTCATACTAATAACATTCTTGAAAAAGAGATTTAACCATCAGAATTTCTGGTTTTAACATCTACTAAGTAAGCGTGTGTATTCCGAAACCGGAATATGTGTAATATCACATCTAAAGTCATGAAGAATGTAGGTTCAACGTTTGTTTCCTGTAAAGCCTAATGATAGACCATCCAAATGGACCTCCATGTATGTCAAACTGTAGAAATGAGTGAGTATGGTTTTACGTCAATTATTGTCACCTGGCACAGATAAGCAGATGAAGTTGGATGCTGCCTCCACGGCAGCACATGTGTGAGCTGCATCACAGGGGCGTCCTTGACACGGGTGATGCTTTCTCTGAGGACATGAGGTACATACATTTACAGGATGGTACGATTACGTTCTTCTCAAAGTCATTTCACACTAAGATTAACATTAACATCCTGTAATTGTTCATTAACTAGATAACTCTTTTTACACATATTTAGCTGAAAATGAGTCACATTTCTTATGGAAATGAGTTGAAAAATTGCTGTGTTGTGCAGATTTGCGCTCCTTGGGTGTGCCAGAATCCTATAATCATGGGTTCGAATCTAAGATTGGCCTTGGTTATGATTATCTCTTTGTCAGCGCATGCATTCCCGTGCTTCAGCCTTACTCCCACAATATAGCGACACACCGAGATATACATGAAATATCCGTGAAGATCAAGGTTAGAATAGGTCTTCAGCAACCCATGCTTGCCGTAAAAGGCGACTATGCTTGTCATAAGGGGCGCTGACTTGGTTGATGCATGTCATCGTATCCCAATTGCGTGGATCGATGCTCATGATGGCAATCACTGGATTGTCTGGTCCAGACTCGATTACTTATATACCACCGTCATATAGCTGGAATATTGCTGAGTGCGGCGTTAACACAACAAACTTAATGCAAACAAGGATTTATTCGCCTAACTCACTGAGTGTTAATCACACACATACGCACGCACACTGATGTAAAGTAAAGTTTTATGCTACCTTGAATGTACGTATTTAAGCCCCTCTGTTTTTAGGTCATGAGCTTAAAAATAAGATGTATAAGCTAGTATGTTCGTTTCTTTGCTTATCGGCTTAAATTAAGAAATCGATTTCAAGTGATCTTTCCCAATAACGCGCCATGAATACTGTAACACTCTTTTAGGCTTATTTACTGAGTTTACTATCATATTTAGAGTGATGTGCCAAATGTCGTTGCTTGTGTTGTTTTCACATTTTCCAATATACGTAAAACCAGTCTGCAAAATACTACCTTATGTACTTACCAGATGTGATGTTGATGCTTCTGTCAGTAACTATAAATAATTACTCACCAGATGTGATGTGGATGTTTCTGTCAAGATATGTATATATAAGATATATTTTGAAGCTTAAGGGATTTCCGATGATTTGATTGGTTTATCTGCTGATCACATGACCCGTTCATTTTTCACATGCCTTCAAAAAGTGACGTTTACAAACTAAGTTTAAACTTCACCTTTGACGTTTACACGATTTTGGACCGGAACTACTTTTCATGGGGAATCCCCGAGTGGAACAATTCTCTATTCTCTTCAATGCTTTCCACGATCGTGAGCATCCGCAATGTCGGACGATAAATTAACGTTTCTTTTTCACTAAAAGTTTCATTAAACACTTATTTACATATTCGCATTGTCCCCTGAATGCCACAGGGACAAATATGTCCCTCCTCTTCTATCCTCACTTTGAAATCGAAAACAATTCAAAATATATGACGCACACAAATACTCTTCAAGGTTTTCAAGTCCTAGGGAAATTCTCTGTTCTGTGATATTACCAAATCTCGTTTTAGGCAAAGGAACATTACTGAAAATGCCCTGAAAAGTTGGAACGTCGTACAAAAACACGGCGTTATGTGGTGAATGTTTTTAAATCAAAATATTGCATATTTAATCGGAGAATTGAATTTCAAAAATAGCATGTGGGTGTGGTTTTTTTTATCAAATCACCAATGGTCATTGTGAAACGTCGCCGATAACCCATCAATCGTTTAGAATGTTTTGGAAAATACGAAAACACGAACGCCGAAGTAACTTTTCGCCATATTGGACAGTGTTTACAAAATCGCGTTCATGTATGCCGGTTATGAGACGCCAATTTCACGTATATTTCAAACTCAGCTGCGATACATATATACCAGAATTCCTCATACATTTTAGAATCCAGATCAACTCAAGCGAAATAAATTAGGTGTGAAAACGAACGCTGTGCTCGGAAAACTGCTTGAAATGTAAACAAAGCAAAATTCGGATATTACACTGTGTAGCATTTACTCCTATTTTGAGAGATACAATGCCTCTATATTTCTAGAATATGCATGGGAAGAGTATCGTAGCAGGAATTAGGGAATTAGAAATAGATACATTACAATGATTTGATAAATTCAACAAAAATTGTCAAAGTTTCCGTCCTGTGTGACGGCATGACACAGTACAACGACAGTACAACGACAGTACAACGACAGTACAACGATAGTACAACGACAGTACAACGACAACGACTTTGACTTGCGAGGTTCAATGCGTTCATACTCCAGTAATCCACCACAAAGTGAAATTCATTTCTTAAATATATACTGTTACTCACAAGATGTGATGTGGATGCTCAATAAATCATTAAACATACACTGTTATTCGTCTGATGGGATGTTGATGCTTCTGTCAATAAATATATACTGTTACTCACCCAAGGTGATGTGACTGCTTTCATGACGCCTGTGATCTGGAAGTATGTGTTTGCATGCCGATTTTAATTGTTTGTGGCCATTGAAAGAAAATACTTCAGTAAACTATAGTTTCGTAATGACACAACAAAGAACTTGCTGAGGACCTATAGCCTTACCCGGAATCCCCACTGGGCTTTTGAAGAAAGATATACTCTTACTCACCAGATGTTTTGTGGATGCCTCTGTGAAGAAAGAGATACTCTTACTCACCAGATGTTTGTCGATGCCTCTGTGAAGAAAGAGATACTGTTACTCACAAGATGTTTGTCGATGCCTCTGTGAAGAAAGAGATACTGTTACTCACCAGATGTTTTGTGGATGCCTCTGTGAAGAAAGAGATACTCTTACTCACAAGATGTTTTGTCGATGCTTCCGTGAAAAAAAGAGATACTCTTACTCTGTCACCAGATGTTTTGTGGATGCCTCTGTGAAGAAAGAGATACTCTTACTCACCAGATGTTTGTCGATGCCTCTGTGAAGAAAGAGATATTGTAACTCACCAGATGTTTTGTCGATGCCTCTGTGAAGAAAGAGATACCCTTACTCACCAGATGTTTGTCGATGCCTCTGTGAAGAAATATATACCCTTACTCACCAGATGTTTTGTCGATGCCTCTGTGAAGAGACAGCTGGTATTCACCGGAGTCTCAGGCGGCACGGAATATTCCCCGTCATGAAGTCGACAGACAGATGATCTTGGACTCCATGTACATGCTGTACATCGCGTGGTCATCCAGCAGTATTGGAGACACTGTCTGTGTCGACGAAACTGGACGTGAAGAATCTCGCCGGACAGGTGTGTGATATTCCGGGAATTCCCAAGATACTGAATTGCTCTTTCAAGGAACATACAGAATGGAATAGGGAAAAATACAGTCTAACGCAGCCACTGCCTGTCATGTCTGATTGCTGAATGATTTTCTGTAAAGTGATGCTGTTTCACAATATGTTGACCATGGAAACTCGATATGGTTCGTTATAATAGTATTTACCAATTAAAACGGCCTTGCCGAAGAACAAACTCATTATCCTCACTATGCCACAAGCAATATTTGTCTTCAAGCCACTGGGTGTAATGCTTAAATTATTGATGGACAACAGAGTAAATACTTTAGAATACATACATAGATGTAGAGGTGGATACTGGTGATTCGAGGCCTAGATGCGACATCCCAATGCGCAGATTTACGTCTCGTAGCTGTCCTCATTGGATACCTCATTGGAGGAGACCGCCTCCGTGGTAGACCGGTAGACCGTCCGCCCGGAGTGCGGAAGTTCCGGGGTTCGATCCTCGGCCGCGTCATACCAAAAGACATCAAAAGATGGTACTTGTTGTTACCCTGTCTGGCGCTCGGCATTAAGGGGCTAAAACAAGGACTGGTCGGCTCGGAGTCAGTATACTGTGTCTGAGTTGGGTATTCATGTTAAACTGCGGCATGGTATCTCAGTGAGCTAGCACTATAAATCGGCATCAGTCCGGACTAGTATAAGCAGCCACGCAAACACACACACGTACATGCACGTCACTTTATAAGTGCAATAATCTTGGACGCGACGTAAAACCCCATTTCACCTCACCTCACCCATTGGTACGAATCCCAGTGATACAGGCGTTAACATCTCAGTGCTTAACTGACCTCACTCTCCGCTTGATGCACGTGCATCAGTTGCAGTGAACATATTTCACGTGCAGCTGACAGAGACAACACCCGCATTACTCGCACTGACAACTGTACACTCCTAAATTAAGACAAAGCAAACTTATATTTGACATTCCCAGTCGATTAAAAAAATAATAAAAACATATTGTCCGAAAACAACTACTAGATAGTGTTTTAAAACCAAAGCCAGCCAATATATCGAAGCGACGATTCCCGACATGGGTACAATGTGTGAAGCCCATTTCTGGTGTCCCCCGCCGTGATATTGCTGGAATATTTCTAAAAGCGGCGTAAAACCATACTCCCTTACTCACTTACCCGGATCTTCACGGATCCGGCGACATGTCAATAATCCGAAGCAGGGCGCACGTGTGATAGAATGCATTATGGACGATCAGTGCCATTAGGATAAACTGACATGCAATCAGACCTGTCGCAAAGTCTGGCAAACCCATCAACATTTTTGTCGACGCTGACACAAATGTACTGGGATCCTACGAATCCTAACACTGGAAACTTAGGTCCTCTTCACCTCGACAACCTTACAAGATCCGACGAAAATATAAACTAACACAGGATGTACAGAATATATTTTGTACCATTTTGAGTCAGCGTGCCGACGGGGAAACAAAAAACATTCAAAGGTAAATTAGCCCAATTTAATTAAAACGGCTGTCGGAAACATATACAATCTGACCGTTTCAAGGACTCAAGAGATCTGTTTTGTATTCCCTCCACAGAGTCATAGGATTTGTTTGTTTGTTTGTTGTTAAATGCCGCACTCAGCAATATTCCAGCTGTATGACGGTGGTCTGTAAATAGTCGAGTCTGGGCCAGACAATCCAGTGATTGATATCATGAGCATCGATCCACGCAGTTGGTACACGATGACATGCATCAACCTAGTCAGCGAGCCTGACCACCCGATCCCGTTAGTCGACTTTTACGGCAAGCATGGGTTGCTGAAGACCTATTCTACCCCGGATCTTCACGGGTCAGACGTCATAGGAGTCACCACTGAAGCAGTAATGGTGGTGTTGAGACAAAACAGAAGTGAAGAAGAATGTTTAGAATCACAGGGAATGAGAATTGAACTATAACAAGAAGTAACTAAATATAAAGTTCAATAAAATTATATTTACTCTGAAATTGGATAATACATCTTTCAATGACGGCCTTCATGAAGGCATCTCATCGACTTTAAGGTCGTGAGTCACAATTTGCTGGTGCATGCTTATGCACGGCGCCCCCGTGAGGACCCGGGGTAGAATGTATCCCTCGTAAGAGGCGACCAAACTGGGTAGCCTGTTTGCCGTGGGTTGCGTCCCTGTGTCGCCAGAAGAAGGGAATCTGTTGGTTGAGTGCGCCGGAGCCGGCAATAGTCCTTAGTCCAATAAACCACATAGATCCTAACTTTGGCAAGTCGCCTTTTACGGCAAGCACGAGTTGCTGAAGACCTATTCTAACGCGGATCTTCACGGGAAATACCGTTCCATTCATGTGAGTTAGTTGCAGAGAACCTCACTCCTCACGCGACACCAGAAGTACTCTCATTGGCTACGCAACGATCAAGGTCAACAACTACCCAAGTCACAGATCAGCCGATGAGCGTTTTAGTCTGTTCTTTCGAGTGAATGATTGAGTGAGTATGATTAAAGGTCGCTTTTAGCAATATTCCAGTAATTTCTCGGCAGGGAACACCAGAAAGGCTTCACACATAGTATCCATATTGGGAATCGAACCCGGGTCTCCGGCGTGACGAGCGAACGCTTTAACCACAAGGTTACCCCACCGCTCCCAGCATTACCCACATGAATATATGTGCACAAGTTACTCGTAACATACACGCTTGTCTACCCAACAGTGTCAAAAGGTTTTCAGAACATAATGTAAACAATGCATATCTGAACATTTACATTTATTTCATATCAGAAGAGATATACAAACAAAGTAGTGATCTAAGAAGTTTGATACTGTTTGCCACGTATCGGTATAGATGAAACATCAATTAACACTGAGACAGTATTACATCTAACACTACCGAGGGGTATTATCTGGGTTGTCTAACTCGCCACGGCAGCGAGGAAAACAAGAAACTCTTCGAAATTTAATTTGCCGTCTCCACTGACATCGAGCTCCTTTACAATCTGCTCAGCAGTGGACTTGGGTACTTCAACACCACATTCAGAAGCGGCTGACTGCAATAGCACGTGGAGTTCATCGGGGGACAGGAGACCGTCTTTGTTCGCGTCCAGAGCGTGGAAGAGTCGACGAAGGTGAGCGCCCCTGCAAACCAACACCAGAATTCGGTATTCATGTCCGAATTGATTGTATCTATCAACAGTAACTAAAAGATTTCAACACAGTCATTCACAATTTTCAAATTTGAGTTCAAGTTATGGTGAAATGTCGAACAGAAAAGAAAATATTACGTTTGACTTTCTTTGTGATCCCAAGAAGCAAAGTAACGCCAACAATCTACACTTGTCTGTCTTATGATGTTGCAACATTCCACGTCTATCACGGCGTACTGTGTGGGCCAGAGAAACTCTCAAAGATATCTTGAGAAATGGTTGTGTGAAAAGATTGAGTGATCACATTTTAAGCCATATACAGTCGAAACTCGTTATCTCGAACCCCATTTTATCGAATGTATCACGAGCCTGTCCTCCGGTCCCGACCTCTTACTGAATATAAACACATATACATTTGCAAACATATCTCGAATTCGAGATAAACAAACATTGCGATATATCGAACCTTGGACTGGGTCCCAAACTTGAATTTCATCCCAATTATTATTTAATTTTGACTACGATCAGTTATCTTTGCCCATTGATCTAAACCACTGCTATTTACGGTGCACAGTTATCTCCCTTATCCGTGTCAGGATCCACTGACCACGGGTTCGAATCCAAGATTTACTCTGAATTTGACATTTGTCTGCGCGATGCCCATGCTCGTCGGTGCTTTACACAATTTACCCATGCAAGGAATCGACCCCTGTCCCTCGGTGTAACGAGCGAATGCTGTAACCACCTGGCTTTGCCACCGCTCATGAATGTAAAAATAATTCACGTAGGCTTGATGGTTGCTTTCAGTTATGAGTGTATGGGCTGCCACCTTTTTATCTACAACAACCTCTTAAGACTTATATACTTAAATGTATCGATTTATCAGACCTTGTGTTCTTGGGAGTACGTGTGTATGAATATGACTTAAGAAATCAGATATACATGTACACAGAATGATATCATTCGTCTAAGGCATGTTGACACAGATCTAACCTTGCGATGGATTCGTTGCAAGTATAATGACTCAGTATTTGTTTTTACCGAAACATACATTATAGAGGCATTTCAATATTAAATGTTATCGGAAAAATCTGCACGTCAACCATAGAAAAACATTTGAGAATATGGATGGAAGTAAATGATTTACTGTCCGAGTCGTAAGCAAACTACTCTACTCTTGATAATTTGTTTGTTTCACAAGCTCTTTTCTCTAAATATTTTTGCAAAACCAGAGGTCGCTTTTATTGTGTATTTTTTTTTTTTAAAAGAAGCTTTTGACTATGTTAATAGGACAAAACTGATGTATTTACTTATTACGAAGGGATGCATATGTCATGGTAAAATGTCTGTACTTGCTAATAAAAGGATGCATCAGTCAGCGCATGTATAAAGATCAAAAATGAACGTACGGACTGCTTTACAACAGCCTCCGGTGTACAACAAGGCTGTGTTTTAAGTCCGTTGATGTTTATATTTTTTCATAAATGAACTTGCTATAGAGCTGCAAAATAGTTGCCAACATGGGATATGTGTAACACAAGAAACAATGGACATTCTGCTCCTTCTCTTTATTGATGATGTTGTAATTTTTTCCTATTCTGTAAATGGCTTGCAAAAACAGTTAAATGTGTTACAGAGTTACTGTTCAAAATGGAGTCTTGAATAAATCTGAATAAAAACAATGCTGTAGATTTTAGAAAAGGTGGTATTGTTGCAAAACATTAAAAATGTTTTTTTGGTTCGTCTGCCTTGAGTGTGGTCACTAACTATACATATTTAGGTCTTACGTTTTCCTCTAGATTGTCATGGTCTATGGTCGGTAAGCAATTAGCTGTTCAGGCTTCGAAAGCCATTATGCCTCTGTATAAGTTATTCAGGGAAAATAGTTGTGTGTCTTTTTTCACAGCATGTACCATTTTTAAGGCAAAATTATGCTTATACTTTTGTATGGTTCTGAAATATGTGGTGCTAAGTATTACGCTGCAATTGAAAACGTTCACACTTCATATTTCAAATGTTTTCTAGGTGTTGGTAAGTTTGCCTCAAACAAGTCAATCCTTGGTGAAACAGGCCGTAGTAATATTTTTGTAGCCAGCCAATTAAGGGTAATTTTGAATGATGCCTGATAGATACCAATATCAGTGTTACAACATGTTAAAGGTACTTGATGATAATGGTAAAAATAATTGGGTTTCAGATGTGAGAAATCTATTTGTTAGTGGCTTTTCATATGTATTGATTTCCCAAGATGTGGGAGATCCACAGTTATTTTATGCTCATTTATGCAAAGACTAAAGGGTATATTTTGTCAATACTGGCACCAACGTTTTTCTCAATCACTTAATCCTAGCAATTACAGCAAAGTAAAATCATTATATATTACAAACTGAAAGATATTTAACTTGTATAAAATGATAAAAGTTTAATCAGAGCTTGTTGTAAACTTAGACTTTCATTGCACATTTTTAATGTAAATGTATGTCACAGGGCCAAAGACGGTGATATTGTGAACAAACTGTTCACCCGGAGAAGTAGAAGATGAATACCTTGTCTTACTTATATGTGAAACGTATTCCCATTTAAGGTATAAATTTCTCCCCATATTGCAAGGTATTTTTATAGGCCATCAGTTAATGATAAATCGTGCTAAACTCTGAAAATCCTGATATGATCCATGCTGTTTCTGTTTTTTTAAAACATGTCTTTATAATGAGGAATGTGTGACTTGATTTAAAATCTAATCATGTACATCACGTGACAAATGTTAATATCCAATCTGCATTGTACTATGGGCCTTGATGCCTAAATTTACAGAATTAAATGTCTTTATTCCGTATTCTGAAACATATTCCATTCGGCGTAAAAATCGAAGTAGTGGTGAAACGTGTATGGATGGACCACTGTCAAACTGTGATGACTCCAGGTGTTCGCGAGAAGGGTATTACTAAGCATTTCCTCACGAAATGTATATATTTGACGTTATCCCACAGTAAAGGTGGTTTACAGTAAAGCAATGTCAGCGTGATAGAGTTAAACGTGACAAACCACTTTCCATAATCATAAAATATCCCTACTTAAAAAGTTCCATTATACGGGTTGGACAGTATCATAAGCATGTGTTTATGATTCACTCTCAAATAGTGGTGATACCAGGTGTTCGCGAAAAGCAGGGGCACCCACCACTTACTCCACATGCAAAGGGAAAGCAATTGTCCAGCTGCAAAGATACCAGGTGTTCGCGAAAAGCAGGGGCACCCACCACTTACTCCACATGCAAAGGGAAAGCATTTGTCCACCTGCAAAGAACCCACGGGAACACGGTACCCGTCGCAAACACATGCGAACAAATGTGACCCTGATCAAACTCTTGTTGAGCATGATGCTCTTGAAAGCTTCGTAGAAAGAGCATTGTACCTCAAACGCTGTGAAATAAAACATAACAATCCAACTTACTCTTTCTCCTTCCTCTCGATAGGCGCCATAGCAGCCAAGAACTCGTCCAAGGTTATCTTGTAGTTTTGGTCAGTATCAAGCTTAGCAAACATGGCCTGGGAGAAAAATCATCATTATCGTCATCATCATCATCATCATCATGGCAACTAACTAACTAATCAGATTAAAGTTTGATGTTAAACGGAAATGATTGTTTGACCATTATCGAAAATCAACTTAATAATATCTTTAAGGCAGTGCAAATGTTTATAAGTCATACAAATAGATTTGGATGACACATTAATGTAAATATACAAGTCTCTCTTTTGTACATTTCTTTGTATCTATACACTCATCTTCTTTTCTGTTTTCCTTGTATATGATTTACTGTACAAGCTTTGTAAATACCACATGGCGAGGGAGTCCTAAGTTGGATAACTTGTTCTCAATCAATTTCAATCTGAATAAAATGTGTTTCAACTAACTAACCAGACCACATTCAGTTTGCATTTTCAGTTCCCTGTGAATTACAGTTTATTATTCATATACAATATATCGGAATCCGTCCATACAAAGTGGATCACTTGCAATCACTAAACCGTGCACAAACCTCTTCAAGGCAACTGGTACACACTGGGGAATACAAAAGAAGATTTCATGAACGAACCAAGCGCCGACCTAGATAACGCTCTAACAACAACACACAACTGCTAAACAAGTGTGAGAAAGATCGGTCAGAACACTACTTTTTGGGAGTATGGGCGTTCCGCTCGCCTCGCTCCAAGGCTGTACTGAATAATAAGTCCATAGATGTATAGTAATTCTATTCTTAATTCCTATTTTGTAAATCATTTAGGAATTATTATTTTAACAAATAATCTCTTCCTTAGAGACTTGAGCAGGCGCTCCTCGTGCAACGGAATAAACTACATCCTGCACACTGGGGAATGTAACATTGTCCACGAGTACGTGTACTCGAAATGCCCCGCCATGACATATTGCAACATCCTGAATATAATTTTAGCCATGACATCGCAGATCAGCATGTGTGTTTGCAGTAGTCGTGTGTAGTGTAAAGACATACACTCACACACTCACTCACTCACGTCATAGTATTTTTCCACATGCAAAGATTGCAACATCCTGATTTGTAAATGTCACCATAACCTTGACATCGCAGTTCTTGTGTGTGTGTGCAGTAGTTGTGTGGGAGTGAAATGACATAGTCACTCACTCACTAACTCACTCACTTGCTCCTGATTTGTAAATGTCACTTTAACCATGACATAGCGGATGATGTGTGTTTGCAGTAGTAGTGTATAGTGTAATCTCATTCATATGTTGCTGGGATATTGAGCTCATACAAATATACATTTTGTTGTAAACTGCCCGGCATCCATGTTTGTTTGGTGGTGGTCAAAAATGGAACAAACAAGATATGGTCATTCGAAGGTGGTGTAATTTATCACTCACTCACTCGTTAATGCCATTTTCCACAAGACCATTTCTAACCCGGGTCTCCACTGAGACACCCCTGATACGTTCTTTGAAGTTCCAAGCGCTGATCATCGAAAATCGTTCAGACGAAAAATTTACTACATCAGACTTCTATAATAAGAAACTATTTTGGAGGAAAACACAACATGCAGGACGAATATATTCGCCATTAATCCACGTGTAAAGATTTGGTGTTGATGTGCTGGGTTGCGTCCCTTAGGCATGCAAAAAAACATGATTGTCAGCACAATTCCCTTATGGGTTTCACCAAAATGATAACATCTCATACTGCATCATTCCAGGCCTTCCCCTCCCATAGAGCAGGCACGCCGTGACACAACGGAAATACTGTTCAAAACGGCATTTAACCCAACTCACAGAAAAGAAGGTATGCGTCTTTTTGTCCCTGCAATGTGACAAATGCAGCTTAATTACCCTCTCCCACATATGAACTCACATAGACTTGCTCCCGTTCCAGTTTATATCCTAGTTCTTTGAAAAGACCGTTGACTTCTTCCATATTGAGGTATCCATCATTGTTAACGTCAGCAGCAAGAAATACCTTGATGTATATGTCCCTGTCCTTGGCACTAAGATGAGACATGATGGAAACCTCTACACGTTGTCACTACAGGAGGTCTTACCACTTGACTCTATGCTTAACTAAAACAAACAGAGCTTAAGACCAGTTCGCTACTACGCTGACTTTCTTGTTTGATATACAGAGCAGAGTCCCGGTAGCTTGTGTGACAAGGCTGAGTGAAGGCGTGAAATGTATACTGTCATACAGTGTACAATGAGAGGCGGGTAGATTCCAAAGGGTGTACAAAGCAGTGGGGTGGGGGTGGGGTGGGTCGGGTGGTTGGGTTGGAGGGGGGGGGGGGGGGGGGGGGAGGGTAGGTCTCGATGTGTAGAGACAGGTTGAAAAGGAACACTGCACCTCTTCTAGTCTATACATAGGCGTTTGGGCGACTGGGTTACTGTACCGTATCCCACCAACTGAAGACCTTTATTGCGAAATCATATGACGAAAAATGCACACAGCTTGTTTAAAGTAAGAGAGAGACACAGTGAGAGAACAAAGACAGGTATTTTTAGCTGGGTCAAACTTAGAGTGATATAAATCTCATAGCAGTATCTGTACTCGTTTCGCTTTGGTGTGAACAGAACAGAGGTCAATATTAATTTCTAGTCTATAGCACGCATGTGCTACCGCGTGTAGTTATGTTATGAGTTACACTGAGTGGTATTGTGTGTAGTCATGGTTGCGTGATATCAGTCTTTTTATCTTGCCAAACAAAAGTTAAGCATCGTCCTTCTGCTTTTCACATATTTTAAACATGCATTATGGTTTCAGAGATCTACACTTAAATTTGATAAAGAAGTACAAGAATACTGTGCAAACCTCGAGAGTAATGGGTATTACTTTGTATCCCACGTGTATGATGGAAAGAGATGAGCGAAATTTTGGTTTTAGTACAGAGAATTTGGGAAATTAACTAAATTGAAAAGATACATCGTTTACAGCAAATATTACGGTATAAGGAGGTGAGGTCGCGTACAGGATCATTTCACTTCTGTAGCTACGTGCAAGGACGTGCGTGTGGCTCCTTTGACTAGTCCGGACTTATGATGGTTTTATAGTGCTAGCTCACTGAGATGCCATGCCGCAGTTTAACATGGACACCCACCCACACAGTACACTAACTCCGACCCGACCAGTGCCTATTTCATTCCTGTAATGCCGAACGCCAGTCAGGATAAGAACCTTTTCTCAACGTTTTTTAGTATATATTTCCAAAGACTCTTTCTCGCCATTCTATGAAGTGTCACAATATCCTTTCTGAAGTGATATATTTATCTGGTGCTCTATGGGACACAAACTTGGTGTTAGTGTCAGTTGCGAAATACCGCCCCATAAAGACTGGCAAGGCTGCATACAGTGACCTTCTGAATGTCACCTTCCATCGGCTGCTACCACGTACGTTCATGCACCTCTACCACCACTATCAACACACCCAACTACTGCTACTACTACTACTACTACTGCTACTGCTACTGCTACTGCTACTACTACCACTACTACTGCTGCTACTACTACTACTGCTACTGCTACTACTACTACCACTACTGCTACTACTACTACTGCTGCTACTACTACTACTACTGCTGCTGCTACTACTACTACTACTGCTACTGCTACTGTTACTACTACTACTGCTACTGCTACTACTACTACAACAACTACTGCTACTACTACTACTGCTGCTACTACTACTATGCTGCTGCTGCTACTACTACTTCTACTACTACCACTACTACTACTGCTGCTGCTACTACTACTGCTGCTGCTGCTACTACTACTGCTACTACTACTACTACTACAACCACTACTGCTACTGCTGCTGCTGCTGCTACTACTACTACTACTACTACAACCACTACTACTACTACTGCTGCTGCTGCTACTACTACTTCTACTACTACCACTACTACTACTGCTGCTGCTACTACTACAGCTACTACTGCTACTGCTACTGCTACTACTACTACAACCACTACTGCTACTGCTACTGCTACTGCTACTACTACTGCTACTACTACTACTGCTACTGCTACTACTACTACAACCACTACTGCTACTGCTGCTGCTGCTGCTACTACTACTACTACTACTACTACTGCTACTGCTACTACTACTACAACCACTACTGCTACTACTACTACTACTGCTACTACTACTACTGCTGCTGCTACTACTACTACTGCTACTACAACCACTACTGCTACTGCTGCTGCTGCTGCTACTACTACTACTACTACTACTACTGCTACTGCTACTACTACTACAACCACTACTGCTACTACTGCTACTACTGCTACTGCTACTACTACTACCACTACTGCTACTGCTACTGCTACTGCTACTACTACTGCTACTACTACTACTGCTACTGCTACTACTACTACCACTACTGCTACTACTACTACTGCTGCTACTACTACTACTAATGCTGCTGCTACTACTACTTCTACTACTACTACCACTACTGCTACTGCTACTACTGCTACTGCTACTACTACTACCACTACTGCTACTGCTACTGTTACTACTACTACTGCTACTGCTACTACTACAACCACTACTGCTACTACTACTACTACTACTGCTGCTACTACTACTACAACCACTACTGCTACTGTTACTACTACTACTGCTACTGCTACTACTACAACCACTACTACTACTACCACTACTACTACTGCTGCTGCTGCTACTACTGCTGCTGCTGCTACTACTACTACTACTACTACAGCTACTACTGCTACTGCTACTACTACTACAACCACTACTGCTACTGCTGCTGCTGCTGCTGCTACTACTACTACTACTACTACTACTGCTACTGCTACTACTACTACAATCACTACTGCTAGTACTACTACTACTACTGCTACTACTACTACTACTGCTGCTACTACTACTACTACTACTGCTACTACTACTGCTACTACTGCTACTGCTACTACTTCTACTACTGCTACTACTACTATTACTTCTACTACAACTGCTGCTACTACTACTACTGCTACTACTACTACTGCTACTACTAGTACTGCTACTACTACTACTAGTACTACTACTACTACTACAACTACAACTGCTGCTGCTACTACTACTACTGCTACTACTACTACAACTGCTGCTGCTACTACTTCTGCTTCTACTACTACTACTGCTGCTACTACTACTACTACTACTACTGCTACTACTACTACTACTAGTAGTACTACTACTACTACTAGTAGTACTACTACTACTACAACTACAACTGCTGCTGCTGCAACTACTACTTCTGCTACTACTACTACAACTGCTGCTACTACTACTACTGTTGCTACTACTACTACTGCTACTGCTACTGCTGCTACTACTGCTACTACTACTACTGCTACTACTACTAGTACTACCACTACTACTAGTAGTACTACTACTACAACTACAACTGCTGCTACTACTACTACTACTACTGCTACTACTACTACAACTGCTGCTGCTACTACTACTACTGCTACTACTACTACTACTACTAGTACTACTACTACTACTACAAACAACACTACCAACATAACCACTGCCACCCATAACAAATACATCACCAGTATTCCCCACTGTCATTACCCCTTCTACCAACATGTTTGCGCCTAGTGTATCACATCGGGCGTCCTCCAACGTCAACGCCGTGATAAAACAGAAATACTGTTCACAGCTACAACTACTCCAAGCCCGTGAAGATCCAGGCTATAATTGGTCCTTAGCAACCCATACTTGTCGTAAAAGAAGACTAAAAAGATCGTCACGCTCACTGACTTGTTTGATGCTCGATGACTTGACTGATGCTCGCTTACTTGGTTGATACATGTCTTCGTATCCGAATTGTGTATATCGATGCTCATTATGCCAATCACTGGATTGTCTGGTTTACGACTCGACTGTTTACAGACCGCCGTCATATAAACTGCCGAGCGTAGGAAAGTATACACCCATATTGGATGGTTGCTAAAACTAAAATGTAGAACCGCAACAGTCACTACTAATACTAAAACAGCCACCAAGGCCACTTATCCTATAACCATAACCACTTGATGCAATCTACCAAAGACCTGTGAAGGTCCGGGTTAGAATAGGTCTTCAGCAACCCATGCTTGCCGTAAAAGGCGACTGTGCTTGCCGTAAGAGGCGACTGACGGGATCGGGTGGTCAGGCGCGCTGACCCAATTGCGTGGATCGATGCTCATGATGTCAATCACTGGATTGTCTGGTCCAGACTCGATTATTTACAGACCGCCGTCACATAGCTGGAATATTGCTGAGTGCGCCGTTAAACAACCAATAAATAAACAATCAATCTACCAAAACCACTACCTTTACCACCACTACTATAAGCCCTTCTACAAACATGTTTTCACCCAGTGCTTCACAAGTCAAGCCGCACGCCGTGACAGCAACAACTACCCCAAGCCTGTGACTAATGGCAGACCACTTAAGCCTTGTACACTGCTACCACGACTTGAGTTTGTTTGTTTGTTTGTTTCTTTACTGTTGCTGTTCGTGCTACACGACACAACTTGAATTGATCTCATAATGCATTGTACTCTAGACACCAGCTTAGGGAAACGCCTATAAATCCATTCAAGACTTAAATAATTCATTGTACCATCTATACATTTGTAAACTATTTATAAAGCAGTATTGACAAGTGCTTGAAAGGCAGGGGTATTGACAAGGCACACAAAAACACACATACATGCACGCACACAAACACACAAGCATGTACACACACGCTCTCTCTCTCTCTCTCTCTCTCTCTCTCTCTCTCTCTCTCTCTCTCTCTCTCTCTCTCTCTCTCGCTCTCGCTCTCTCTCTCTCTCTCTCTCTCTCTCTCTACCCTTATGGGGAATCGAACCCTGGTCTTCGGCGTGACGATCCACGCTTTAACCACTAGGCTTCCCCGCACATATATATGCAATTATATATAGATAGATTATTAACTGTACGTACGCACGTACGTGAGTGAGTAAGTATGGTTTTACGCTGCTTATAGCAATATTCCAACAAAATCAGGGCGGGGGACACCAGAAGTGGGCTTCACACATTGTACCCATGTCGGGAATCGAACCCGGGTCTTCGGCGTGACGATCGACGCTTTAACCACTAGGCTACCCCGCCGCCCCGTATGTACAATAGACAAACACCCCAACACTGACGTTTAAAATAACACACGTAGTAGTAGTGTATAGTCCTCGCCACTTGCAATAGAATCACGGAATATCGCGATGATTAATTGACAGTGCATCTGTGCTTATACTAAGAAAGTGACAACAAGCCATTCTGACAGTAACAATTGTTGCTTGATATACAGAAACTGCAAAAATTGCAAAGTGCTATTCATCTTGCTAGCGACACGCGTCATCAGGGGCGGTCGGGTTGCTTGGTGGTTTAAGCGTTCGCTCGTCACGCCGAAGACTCGGGTTCGATTCCCGACATGGGTACAATGTGTGAAGCCCATATCTGGTGTCCCCCGCCGTGATATTGCTGGAATATTGCTAAAAGCGGCGTTAATCCATACTCACTCACTCACTCACACGTCATCACTGAGCGGTGACAATCCGGGTAAGGGTTAGTTGTTATGTGAATTGTACTGATGACATATCATTACACATGATCAGAAACCGTTTAAATATAATAAAAAATGATTAAACAATTTTTTTTTAAATAACAGTGAATAAAATCAACCACTGGCACTTTGCACTTTGAGTTGTGTCCATTCTCAATTTGTATGCGGGGTTGTAGGATAGTCTCGTGGTTAAAGCGTTCGCTCGTCACGCCACATGGGTACAATGTGTGAAGCCCTGATGTGTGATTTCTGCTGTACCCCGCCGTGCAATTGCTGGCGACATTTACTTTTTTATGACAATGTGTGAGTGGCAGGTGCTACAGGTAAAGTAGGACAGGCTTACCCTTTTCGCGAACACCTGGTGTCATCACTTATTTTTTCAGTGATCCACACATGTAATTTTTAGCACTATTTCTCCTATTACGCGGGGGCACGGGTGGTCCACTCGTCTCAGGCGCCGCGATTCGCTGTGCTGAGTTGCGTCCCTTGGGCACGCCAGAAACCTATGGTTGTGGGTTCGAATCCCGGTTCGCCCCGATTATGTTTCTAGGTTTGTCAGCACCATACCCGTGCTCGTGGGTTTCACCGAATTGGTAAACGTCTGAGACCTGAATCACTTCGGGCTTTCCTCCCACATTAAGCTGACACGCCGTGATATAACTGGAATACTGTTAAAAACCCAACTCACTCACTCACTCTCCTATTACGCCCCATAGAATCTGTTTCGGAGGATAATCGAGACTGATCATTCTCTGGCGCTGACACTTTGAATTTGACTGCTGTTTCGAATAAAACTTGTTTGGCAACCACTTTGTGAGTTATGATAGTCTAAACGCCTTAAAATCAGAACATTATATTTATTGATGAATTTTTAACACGCATCATTTCCTCTGTTTGCCAAATGTTCAAGAAACTGTTCGTAGTTGAGTTTCCCGTCTCTGTCCTTGTCCAGACGAGCTAGCAAGGCATCTATGTCACTTTGCTGTAGTGCCGAACCTACTGAGCACAGAGCTCCGCGTAGCTCCTGGCTGCTCAAAACGCCATCTTGGTTGATGTCCGCTGCCACGAACATCTGTCGTATGTTGGCACACCTGAAAAAGTAAAGGACAACTCATCTGAATATTTAAATAAAGCGACAAAACCCTTTCCATAATTCAATAGAAATCTCTGCATAAAGCAGAGTCGATTGGACAATTCCGACTATATCATGAGCATGTGTTTATGACTCACTCTCAAACAGCAATGATGCCAGGTGTTCGCGAAAAGGTGAGCGTATACAGCCCCACCGGTGGCACCCGTCACAAACACATGCAAAGGCAAGTCACACATGTGAGTGATCATTGAGTTTGGGTTTCTAAAGCGACAAAACCCTTTCCCTATCCATATCCAATGGAAATCTCTGCATAAAGCAGACTCGATTGTGAGCAAGTGTTTATGAATCGTAATCAAAAAGTAATGATATACCAGGTGCTCGCGAAAAGGCGAGTCTATCCTGCCCCAACGGTGGCACCCACCACAAACGCATGCAAAGGCAAGTCAATTGTCCACCTGAAAAAACCCGGGAACATATGGTACAAGTCAAAATATTTGTCATTTTTGTCACTGATGAGTCAATTTTGGAAATGTCCTCCACATGTCTACCATAAGACCTTATGAACACCGCTTGAACAGTGATGTGGAAGGAAACCCCCAAATTAGGCTGTTCTCAGACGTTCACCGCTTTGGTGAAACCCAGGAGTGCGGATATGGTGCTGACACACCTAGAAGTCGAATCAGGGCGAAACAGGATTCGAACCCATGATCATAGGTTTTTGGCACGCCTCAGAGACGCAACTCGCACAGCGACTAGCGGCAACGTAGTCGACCTGGCCACCAGCATCCCCAGGAACACAATTTACCATCGTATGTGAACCCCTGGGAAATGTTGCGTCCCTCAGCTAGAGAATGAACAGAAGTCCTGTGTTCAATGTGCTGCAGTTTGGTGTGAGAGCTACGGACATCATTTGTATCCCTGATGCGTCAGATTTGGAAATGGCCTCGTCATGTCTACCATAAATCGTTTTGAAGGTTGAGTGAGTTAGTGTGTATGGTTTTACGCCGCTTTTAGCAATATTCCAGCAACATCACGGCGGGGGACACCAGAGATGGGCTTTACACATTTTACCCATGTCGGGAATCGAACCCGGGTCTTCGGCGTGGGGAGCGAACGCTTTAACCACTAGGCTACCCGACCGCCCCTTTTGAAAGTTGACCGAGGCCTTGAATATTGTAACCCTGATCAAACAACTTGTGGACATCAGAAGCAGGAACCACTTGGATATTGCTCGACATAAAGGGAAACAAACTTGAGCGTGACGTGTACTGTTTAAATCTAAAGCAAGTGAATCTATTATAGACATGTACTGTACTCAAAGGCACACCACTTTGTCGAGAACTAACTGTCAGAATACCGATCTCGTTGGTTAACTAAAGTTTCATTGACTCTATGACGACATAACAAGTAGCGTTGAAGCATTGAAAGGTATTCATGTAAGAAATCCGATTTATTGAAAGCTTAATATACTCGAAGAGGTTCTCGTGGATGAACATCTTCCTTATGACAGTTGAGGCGACGTCTGGGTGTAAATTCTACCAAGCACAGTGTAGTTTCAACACCTTTATCAAGCACAGTGTAGTTTCAACACCTTTATCAAGCACAGTGTAGTTTCAACACCTTTATCAAACACAGTGTAGATTCAACACCTTTATCAAGCACAGTGTAGATTCAACACCTTTATCAAGCACAGTGTAGATTCAACACCTTTATCAAGCACAGTGTAGATTCAACACCTTTATCAAGCACAGTGTAGAATCAACACCTTTATCAAGCACAGTGTAGATTCAACACCTTTATCAAGCACAGTGTAGAGTCAACACCTTTATCGAACACAGTGTAGAATCAACACCTTTATCAAACACAGTGTAGATTCAACACCTTTATCAAGCACAGTGTAGATTCAACACCTTTATCAAGCACAGTGTAGAGTCAACACCTTTATCAAACACAGTGTAGAATCAACACCTTTATCAAACACAGTGTAGATTCAACACCTTTATCAAGCACAGTGTAGATTCAACACCTTTATCAAGCACAGTGTAGAATCAACACCTTTATCAAGCACAGTGTAGAATCAACACCTTTATCAAACACAGTGTAGTTTCAACACCTTTATCAAACACAGTGTAGTTTCAACACCTTGATCAAGCACAGTGTAGAATCAACACCTTTATCAAACACAGTGTAGTTTCAACCCCTTTATCAAACACAGTGTAGTTTCAACACCTTTATCAAGCACAGTGTAGTTTCAACACCTTTATCAAACACAGTGTAGTTTCAACACCTTTATCAAACACAGTGCAGTTTCAACCCCTTTATCAAGCACAGTGTAGAATCAACACCTTTATCAAGCACAGTGTAGAATCAACACCTTTATCAATAACAGTGTAGATTCAACACTTTTATCAAGCACAGTGTAGTTTCAACACCTTTATCAAGCACAGTGTAGTTTCAACACCTTTATCAAACACAGTGCAGTTTCAACCCCTTTATCAAGCACAGTGTAGTTTCAACACCTTTATCAATAACAGTGTAGAATCAACACCTTTATCAATAACAGTGTAGATTCAACACTTTTATCAAGCACAGTTCAGTTTCAACCCCTTTATCAAGCACAGTGTAGATTCAACACCTTTATCAAACACAGTGCAGTTTCAACCCCTTTATCAAGCACAGTGTAGATTCAACACCTTTATCAAGCACAGTGTAGAGTCAACACCTTTATCGAACACAGTGTAGAATCAACACCTTTATCAAACACAGTGTAGATTCAACACCTTTATCAAGCACAGTGTAGATTCAACACCTTTATCAAGCACAGTGTAGAGTCAACACCTTTATCAAACACAGTGTAGAATCAACACCTTTATCAAACACAGTGTAGATTCAACACCTTTATCAAGCACAGTGTAGATTCAACACCTTTATCAAGCACAGTGTAGAATCAACACCTTTATCAAGCACAGTGTAGAATCAACACCTTTATCAAACACAGTGTAGTTTCAACACCTTTATCAAACACAGTGTAGTTTCAACACCTTGATCAAGCACAGTGTAGAATCAACACCTTTATCAAACACAGTGTAGTTTCAACCCCTTTATCAAACACAGTGTAGTTTCAACACCTTTATCAAGCACAGTGTAGTTTCAACACCTTTATCAAACACAGTGTAGTTTCAACACCTTTATCAAACACAGTGCAGTTTCAACCCCTTTATCAAGCACAGTGTAGAATCAACACCTTTATCAAGCACAGTGTAGAATCAACACCTTTATCAATAACAGTGTAGATTCAACACTTTTATCAAGCACAGTGTAGTTTCAACACCTTTATCAAGCACAGTGTAGTTTCAACACCTTTATCAAACACAGTGCAGTTTCAACCCCTTTATCAAGCACAGTGTAGTTTCAACACCTTTATCAATAACAGTGTAGAATCAACACCTTTATCAATAACAGTGTAGATTCAACACTTTTATCAAGCACAGTTCAGTTTCAACCCCTTTATCAAGCACAGTGTAGATTCAACACCTTTATCAAACACAGTGCAGTTTCAACCCCTTTATCAAGCACAGTGTAGATTCAACACCTTTATCAAACACAGTGTAGAGTCAACACCCTTTATCAATAACAGTGTAGATTCAACACCTTTATCAAACACAGTGCAGTTTCAACACCTTTATCAAGCACAGTGTAGATTCAACACCTTTATCAAGCACAGTGTAGATTCAACACCTTTATCAAACACAGTGTAGAGTCAACACCTTTATCAATAACAGTGTAGATTCAACCCCTTTATCAAACACAGTGCAGTTTCAACCCCTTTATCAAGCACAGTGTAGATTCAACACCTTTATCAAGCAGAGTGTAGATTCAACACCTTTATCAAACACAGTGTAGAGTCAACACCCTTTATCAATAACAGTGTAGATTCAACACCTTTATCAAACACAGTGCAGTTTCAACCCCTTTATCAAGCACAGTGTAGATTCAACACCTTTATCAATAACAGTGTAGATTCAACACCTTTATCAAGCACAGTGTAGAATCAACACCTTTATCAAACACAGTGTAGAGTCAACACCTTTATCAATAACAGTGTAGATTCAACACCTTTATCAAGCACAGTGTAGATTCAACACCTTTATCAAGCACAGTGTAGATTCAACACCTTTATCAAGCACAGTGTAGATTCAACACCTTGATCAAGCACAGTGTAGTTTCAACACCTTTATCAAGCACAGTGTAGTTTCAACACCTTGATCAAGCACAGTGTAGATTCAACACCTTTATCAAGCACAGTGTAGTTTCAACCCCTTTATCAAGCACAGTGTAGTTTCAACCCCTTTATCAAGCACAGTGTAGATTCAACACCTTTATCAAACACAGTGTAGAATCAACACCTTTATCAAACACAGTGTAGAGTCAACACCTTTATCAAGCACAGTGTAGATTCAACACCTTTATCAAGCACAGTGTAGTTTCAACACCTTTATCAAGCACAGTGTAGTTTCAACACCTTTATCAAACACAGTGCAGTTTCAACACCTTTATCAAACACAGTGTAGATTCAACACCTTTATCAAGCACAGTGTAGATTCAACACCTTTATCAATAACAGTGTAGATTCAACACCGTTTAAACACAGTGCAGTTTCAACACCTTTATCAAGCACATTGTAGATTCAACACCTTTATCAATACACAGTGTAGATTCAACACCTTTATCAAACACAGTGCAGTTTCAACCCCTTTATCAAGCACAGTGTAGATTCAACACCTTTATCAAGCACAGTGTAGAGTCAACACCTTTATCAATAACAGTGTAGATTCAACACCTTTATCAAGCACAGTGTAGTTTCAACACCTTGATCAAGCACAGTTTAGATTCAACACCTTTATCAAGCACAGTGTAGATTCAACACCTTTATCAATCACAGTGTAGAGTCAACACCTTTATCAATAACAGTGAAGATTCAACACCTTTATCAAACACAGTGCAGTTTCAACACCTTTATCAAGCACAGTGTAGTTTCAACACCTTGATCAAGCACAGTGTAGATTCAACACCTTTATCAAGCACAGTGTAGTTTAAACCCCTTTATCAAGCACAGTGTAGATTCAACACCTTTATCAAGCACAGTGTAGATTCAACACCTTGATCAAGCACAGTGTAGATTCAACACCTTGATCAAGCACAGTGTAGATTCAACACCTTTATCAAGCACAGTGTAGATTCAACACCTTTATCAAGCACAGTGTAGTTTCAACACCTTTATCAAGCACAGTGTAGATTCAACACCTTTATCAAGCACAGTACCATCACATTTCAAAATGATATTTGCTTTTGAAATTATTGTAACCACCTTCCTGTTTCTTTTTATTTTAAGAGCATTATTACAGCAAAACTCAGAAATAAGAGGTAATCGAATACCATGCTGTGTTTGTTAGATGTTTAACTCCTCACTCAGCAATATTCCAGCTATATGACGGCGGTCTGTATATAATCGATCCAGTGATTGATATTATGAGCAATGATAAACGTCATCAGGATCACCCGATCTATTCAGTCACCTCTGGAGACCAGTTCTTACGAGGGACCAACATCATAAGCAAATGAACATGATATATGTATACAGTCGGACCTTGTTGTGTCGAATTCGTGGGGACCTGGAAAACGTTCGAGATATCCGGGGTTCGAGACAAGCAACAAAGTGAATTTCCGCAAAACAAACATTCTGTTATGAGAGATTATTACATGTAATCTAGTCATCTTCGGTTTCATACAACGTTCCAACGTCAATAATCGTTTTACTCATTTCTCAATTTGCGCGTGTCAACGACAGTCACGTGGCAACACTCCTGTAACTTGCTGCCGATGTGTGTAAGTATTCAACTTTAATGCTACATTTTGTTACATGGGACTCCCAAATGAGTTCGAGATAACCGGGAATTGGACACATCCTGTTCGTCAGATCCCAGCATAAATGACGACAAATATAGAAGTAATTGGCATGGACCGGAAGGTGAGTTCGAGACAACCCGGAATTCGACTATTTTGAAGAAATAAACGACGAATGGGAGTTGTTTATCGTAAAATAAAACACTGCAGTGAGAATAAACCATGAGGGACGCATATATCACCATTATGTACTGCCTCTTCAAGGACGTTCATAAAATGTGCAAGCTTTAAAAATATTTACCCGTATTTAATAATGATGACGCCTTGAATAGAATCCGACCTCGGCAGTGTCGGACAAGTCTATTTTATGAACAGGCGGGGAAAGTTTGGTATTTCCCACATATTCTCGCAATCCTAAAGACGATTATCTGTACCTTTTCTCCAAGTATCGATTGTCACAGATCCCACTTTTGGATGCGATCGTTCGGCCACTGCATTTATCCGCGTAGCCCAGCTACATCTATGGGGAACAACTCACTAGATTTTCCCTCTCAAAAGTAATATACATGTATATATATTGGTCGACTTTACTTTTGAGAGGGAAATATCCAGTGAGTTGTTATATATCCTAACAGTAAGCAGGCTTTGTGCCAAAGTTAAATCAGTAGTCTGTCAAACAGGCCCTGATACAGTCTATAATAGTTGGCAAGTCTAGTTCACTTTCCTCCTTTTATCTAATTTCCCGATTTTTTTGTAAAATATTTTCATATCTGAGACAAGCTGTGTGAGGTCAGGTGTACGCAAACTTACTCTCTATCGACCGGTGATATCCCAGGCATGGTTGCGAGAAATTCATCCAGCGTTATTTTATCGTTATTGTCTGTATCCACACCGTGAAACATCTCCTACAACATAACGGTAGATAGTTCTGATGTTATATTTTTGCACAAACTGCTAACTCGCATATACGGTAGCTGAATGGTGTTTTATGCCACTGTATTCACCATTCGAACTCGAAGGAAACTGAGAAACGATCGTCATATACGAGTGAAAACAGTTTCCCAACGTAATTTACAACACAAAAGGAATGATATTGTACATGAGATGTATTTAATTATATATATATCTATTGCTTTATTGCTGTGCTTAAACTTTACTGTGATGCACATATAACAAGGTAATGCGAAAGAAATACCCGTTAAATACTCACTATTAGCTTTGAGGGTTTAAGTCGAAATCCAAGCTTTTCACAGAGACATTTGAATTCTATTTTGTTGAGGTAGCCGTCCCCATTAGCATCGACACCAAGAAAGAACTTTGTATAACTCTCTCGCTCACTCGGTGTTAAATGACTCATACTTGTCCAATCACCACTGTAACTGTCTCAAACTTTAATCGTGCATTTGACACCAGTGCGTCTTGGTATGCAAAATTATCAAGTCTGCCTCGAAACGACCACTGTACTTTCGCACTCATAGCAACAAAAGACAATATTTGAACTTCCTCAAACAAATATAATCAATGGCCACTCTGGACGTCCACATACAATGTTGCGGCCGTGCAGGCTTGAAAGGAAAATATTTTTCTATCATCTCCCCATGATTTGCCGAACGCCTTCTGAGTTTGTAAAACGTGAATTGCATATATTACACTGGTTAGTTTAATCCTTCTGGTGATGAATGTAAAATATGTAAATGGCTTTTCCATGTCCGCTACTACAACTGTTTTCTTTCGCCATTTAGGACCCGTAAGGATCCGAAGTAGCATAGGTCTTCAGCAACTCATGCTTGCCGTAAAAGGTGACTATGCTTGTCGTAAAAGGTGACTAACGAGATCGGGTGGTCAGGCTGGCTGACTTGGTTGATGCATGTCATCGATCCCAATTGCGTTCATTGTTCACACAGCACAGGTTCATTGTGTCACACAGCACAGGTTCATTGTGACACACAACACAGGTTCATTGTGACACACAGCACAGGTTCATTGTGACACACGGCACAGGTTCATTGGGACACACAGCAGAGGTTCATTGGGACACACAGCACAGGTTCATTGTAACACGCATCACAGGTTCATTGTGACACGCAGCACAGGTTCATTGTGACACACAGCACAGGTTCATTGTGACATCCAGCAGAGATTCAATGTGACACACAGCACAGGTTCATTGTGACATGCAGCACAGGTTCATTGTGACACACAGCACGGGTTCATTGTGACACACAGCACAGGTTCATTGTGACATACAGCACAGGTTCATTGTGACACACAGCACAGGTTCATTGCGACACACAGCACAGGTTCATTGTGACACACAGCGTGGGTTTATTGTGACAAAAATACGAATTCATTGAGACACAGCACAGGTTCATTGCGACACACAGCACAGGTTCATTGTGACACACAGCACAGGTTCATTGTGACACACAGCACAGGTTCATTGTGACATCCAGCACAGGTTCATTGTGACACACAGCACAGGTTCATTGTGACACACAGCACAGGTTCATTGTGACACACAGCACAGGTTTATTGTGACACGAAGCAAAGGTTCATTGTGACACGCAGCACAGGTTCATTGTGACACACAGCACAGGTTCATTGTGACACGAAGCAAAGGTTCATTGTGACACGCAGCACAGGTTCATTGTGACAAAAAACACGAGTTCATTGAGACACACATCACAGGTTTGTACACCAGTTTATTGTAAAGCCCTGGTTATTTTGGTCAGTTGCTATTTATGCAGTAGTGGTTTGCTATTGAGGGCAGTACGACTTAATGGTTAACCCAAATAATCATGCTCTACTGATATACTAAAAGGTTTCATTTTCTAACATAATATTATTTAACATGTTTTGAACTGGGCAGAAATGTACAGTAGAGCATAATCCCCTTTAAATTCAACTTCGAAAACGCATTTATATTAAACGATACGTCTACTGTTGACAGATATGTTGATGAATGTGTTGAACACCTAGCAACACATGTATGTATATAAACTGCCGGTCAAAAGAAAGTATACATCCATCTTTGGCGGTGGCTAAAAATGAACCAAATAAGAAATGGTTACTTGATGGCGATGTATTTGATGCGGGTATCATAGGCGATATTACACGCATCATATCAATAAATCTCACAACAGGTTTTCTTTGTTTGTTTTTTGTTTAACGCCGCACTCAACAATATTCTAACTATAATGATGGCGGTGTGTAAATATGAGCATCCATCTATTCAACTAGAATACGATGACCTGCGTCGACCAAGTCAGCGAGCCTCAGTCGCCTCTTACGACAAGCATGGGTTGCTGAAGATACCCGGATCTTCACGGGTAGTCCAATTCTGTTGCCTTTTGCGACCAGCAAAGAGGTGCTGGGGACACAGTCTACCCAGGGTACCCACGGGGTCTTAAAATGTTTTCAGCCAAGTAAGGGTTGTCATTTTTTAATCCAATTTATACTTATACAAGTGTATCCTTTTCTGTTTATATTAAGCATGGTTCTTATAACAATATTACTACAAATATGGACGATGTGTTTCTAAGACCACGTGTAGAAACATCAGCTTGGTACGCTTGGTACGCCGCTTTTAGCAATATTCCAGCAATATCACGGCGGAGGACACCAGAAAAGGTCTTCACACATTGTACCTATGTCGGGAATCGAACCCGGGTCTTCGGCGTGACGAGCGAACGCTTTAACCACTAGGCTAACCCAGCGCCCCCTCAAGAGATAAGGGAATCGTTTGATGATAGGCCCCAGTCGCTGACCGGTCATGACTCATTCGATCACAACAAAAACATGTGATCCAAAATCATCTCAGAGCACGTGACAGGCAAGCCAGACTTGAACGCCTTGATAACGCAACCGCATGGTTAAGTGCGTAGTGCGGGCATGCGGTCTTGAGATAGAGTCGAAGCTCGGTCGCCACCAGTTGTCCATTCTGTCTTGTCTGTCAAACCTCAAAGCCAGTTACAACAATACCTCGACCATCTTCTCCGCCCGCAACCGCCATACCCCCTCCAACACACCACCCATACCCCCTCCAACACCCCACCCATACCCTCTCCAACACCCCACCCATACCCCCTCCAACACCCTACCCATACCCCCTCCAACACCCCACCCATACCCCCTCCAACACCCCACCCATACCCCCTCCAACACCCCACCCCTACCCTCTCCAACACCCCACCCATACCCCCTCCAACACCCCACCCATACCCTCTCCAACACCCCACCCATACCCCCTCCAACACCCCACCCATCCCCCCTCCAACACCCCACCCATACCCCCTCCAACACCCCACCCATACCCTCTCCAACACCCCACCCATACCCTCTCCAACACCCCACCCATACCCCCTCCAACACCCCACCCATACCCCCTCCAACAGCCCACCCATACCCTCTCCAACACCCCACCCATACCCCCTCCAACAGCCCACCCATACCCTCTCCAACAGCCCACCCATACCCCCTCCAACACCCCACCCATACCCCCTCCAACACCCCACCCATACCCTCTCCAACACCCCACCCATACCCCCTCCAACACCCCACCCATACCCCCTCCAACACCCCACCCATACCCCCTCCAACACCCCACCCATACCCTCTCCAACACCCCAACCAAACCCCCTCCAACACCCCACCCATACCCCCTCCAACACCCCACACGCCACCAATACCCCCTCCAACACCCCACCCATACCCCCTCCAACACCCCACCCATACCCCCTCCAACACCCCACCTATACCCCCTCCAACACCCCACCCATACCCTCTCCAACACCCCACCCATACCCCCTCCAACACCCCACCCATACCCCCTCCAACACCCCACCCAAACCCCCTCCAACACCCCACCCATACCCCCTCCAACACCCTACCCATACCCCCTCCAACACCCCACCCATACCCCCTCCAGCACCCCACCCATACCCCCTCCAACAGCCCACCCATACCCCCTCCAACACCCCACCTATACCCCCTCCAACACCCCACCCATACCCTCTCCAACACCCTATCCATACCCCCTCCAACACCCCACCCATACCCCCTCCAACACCCCACCCATACCCCCTCCAACACCCCACCCATACCCTCTCCCACACCCCACCCATACCCCCTCCAACACCCCACCCATACCCCCTCCCACACCCCACCCATACCCTCTCCAACACCCCACCCATACCCCCTCCAACACCCCACCCATACCCCCTCCAACACCCCACCCATACCCCTCCAACACCCCACCCATACCCCCTCCAACACCCCACCCATACCCCCTCCAACACCCCACCCATACCCCCTCCAACACCCCACCCATACCCCTCCAACACCCCACCCATACCCCCTCCAACACCCCACCCATACCCCCTCCAACACCCCACCCATACCCCCTCCAACACCCCACCCATACCCCCTCAAACACCCCACCCATACCCCCTCCAACACCCCACCCATACCCCCTCCAACACCCCACCCATACCCCTCCAACACCCCACCCATACCCCCTCCAACACCCCACCCATACCCCCTCCAACACCCCACCCATACCCCTCCCCACCCATACCCCCTCCAACACCCCACCCATACCCCCTCCATCACCCCACCCATACCCCCTCCAACACCCCACCCATACCCCCTCCAACACCCCACCCATACCCCCTCCAACACCCCACCCACCCTGCAAACTAGGTTCCCCGCTGCATCGCGACATAATCATAGTACTTCCAGTACTTCCAACTGACTAAACATTAATGTCATATATTTACTCAGTTAAAATAGATCCATATGCCTCATCACTATTCTGGCAACCCCACGACATGCAAAGCTAATGTTGTCGTTGTACGGTAAGGTGTAGGAGAAATACACTATCTTCATACAGTACGGGATACCTGCACTCAAGTCTCATTTAACAATGACATGATGTGATCAAGTTCATCAAAGAGCGCGATGTATTGTGTAACTTTACAATCAATATCAGTACATACCTACCCCAAATCATGATTGTTTGTTTGTTGTTTAACGCCGCACTCAGCAATATTCCAGCTATATACGGCGGTCTGTAAGTAATCGAGTCTTGACCAGACAATCCAGTGATTGGTATCATGAGCATCGATCCACGCAAATGGGATCAATGACATGCATCAACCAATTCAGCGAGCCTGACCACCCGATCCCGTTAGTCGCATCTTACCTGGTACATGTTATATACTACTCAGGTACATGTAATATACTACTCAGATTTGTGTCTTAAATTTGTGTTAATATGCCAAAAATAGTTAGAAAATATTTAATTGTTTTCCAGATAAACTACAAATCGATGAAATAGAACATTGATCTTTAACCTTGAAGATGTGTATTCACATGTATTAATGACACAGGGTGCAGGATAATATGAACACTCGTAAACCTCCTTGAAAAGCAGTATTTAGTTAGATACTAGTATTATCTATACATTCTGTGATACAATTGACATGGCATGCTTACCATGGAAACGCCAACTGTAAATGTGTCCTAACATTTACAGTCCTGAAATGATTTTTTTCAGAAAGTAGATTCTATGAGGTTTCTTACGATACAAAATACATGGTTCAGTAATACACTCGGAAGTTAAGAAAGATGCTAGATAAAATATTGAATATCAAGCAACAATAGCTACAAATTCGAATACTGTCACCTTGACCGTTGGCCTTGATTTTAACGTGGATCAAAGGAACAGAGCTAGGGAAGATTGATCCATTAATATGTAGTAGTAGTGCTTTCCCCCCAGATAGTATGGTTACCATGGAAACGCCCCAAAATGACATTTTCGCTGGCACATTCAAGTCTGGCATCATTGGTTTGGGAAAACTGAAGATTTAAGATTTCAGTCTACAACAAAAACATCTTGCTATAGCTCCGGTAAACTTGTTCCAATTTTTATCACAAGAAACCACTGAAGAGAACAGAGTATTTGGGAACAACATGTATTTATGTCCGTTTTAGTTGCACTGTAAAATGCAATTCAGCGAGCTGATCCGAGTAGAGCTGATTGTAATTGAAGGGGGATAACTCTGGATATGTTAACGCCGCCTGCAAGCCGTCACGATACTCGGAAACGGTTCGCTGGGAAAGCTGAAATCAAATATTACTCCTTTAAGGTTAGTTGTCAACCTTTCCTTCACGGTATATGGTGTGATTTACACCATGTGTGAGCTTTTTTGTCATTGTTTCTTTTATTTCAAACTGATACGACTCTTTTCTTCTAAGGGGCGGTCGGGTAGCCTTGTGGTTAAAGCGTTCCCTCGTCACGCCGAAGACCCGGGTTCGATTCCCGACATGGGTCCAATGTGTGAAGCCCATTTCTGGAGTCCCCCGCCGTGATATTGCTGGAATATTGCTAAAAGCGGCGTAAAACCATACTCACTCACTCACTTTTCTTCAAATAATTGTTGGTGCTTCTTGCACAATGTACATTAGTATAGGTAGACTATACGAAATCCGAACCTTCTTATTGTCAGGCCACTGACATAATCTCTCAAGCAGCTGGTGTAAATGGAGAACAGAAACTTGGTAACAACTTATATTCTGAGGAAAGGTTTTCGCGTGTGAACATTTTACGTCCCTTTTAGTTTGACATTTGTCAGCAGTGATCGTAAACATGGAAAAAGTAAATACATTGAGTTAAATGTGATGTTTACACAACCAAATGTTTTTTTCAGTTGTATTGAATCTGACTCGTCCATCATAAATGTTCAGATGCTTTTTCAACGACACACAAATAAGTTGTAAGTGATTCTACCGAATATGATTGGCTAACCAAGCAATATTGTTATGCGTTTATGTTCCTTAAAGCGAAAAATACATAGGCCACGGCCGCTAGCAGTATACTGTTTCCTGATTGGCTGATACTTGGGGGAATAGGGGAGGGAGGCTTGAGGTTGCATTATTGCGCTGAACGTTGCCTCCGTGCTTCGTCGTCCCGTGAAGATTCCGGGTTAGAATTGGTCTTCAGCAACCCATGCTTGTCGTAAGAGGCGACTAACTGGATCGGGTGGTCAGGCTCGCTGACTTGTTTGATGCATGTCATCGTGTCCCAATTGCGTGGATCAATGCTCATGATGTCAAACACTGGATTGTGTGGTCCAGACTCGATTATTTACAGACACCCGTCATATAGCTGCAATATTGCTGAGTGCGGCGTTAAACAACAAACCAAAAAATATGTGATGAAATAAGATATATGTGAAGTTATTGCTGACTAATTTATTTTTCAGAATTGACTTAAATATTATTTACTAATTTATTTTGCGTTTATTGAGATATACACCTTAAAATCGACGTGCACACAATATTGAAATCTTTTCTTAAGAACACTGGCACTCGTTAAACCGGTTTACCTAATGTCCATATTGACGAGTCATTACTCCCGCACATGTACAAGTACTTCAATGCACGTGCGATATGTATTGTACTGTTCTTTAATGATCAGAATACTCGCTGATATATATTCAATTATTTGAATTTTTAAATCTTAATTGCACCGTTCATTCCTATCTGGATTTTTTTCAAGTCAAATGTGTAATTCTATCATAATGATCTTTTGTGAGTGAGTTCGTTTCGAAGCCGTTTCAACAGTATTTCAGTTATATGATATCGCAATTTTATTTTAATCTTTTCCACTGATACGATACTTCACGTCCATAAGACTTTCTGATTTGCCAATCAGCGTCGAGACATGTAAATTCTCGAAACGAGTGAGCCAACCATTGAAACCAGCACATCTGATTTCTGTATCTCGAAATCGAACTAAAAATACAAGTTCCGAAAGTATAAATCTGCTATTATATTGCTGACACATTTCATTCATCCTGTCGTTTCTGAGTGCCAATTAATGAAGAACTAATTGTGCTCTGTCTGGGTTTTCATTTGTATAAATCGAAATTTCCGAAAAGAGGCGGTAAAAATATGAAGCCGAATCGTTTCAGAAAGCTGACAGCTGGATGGCTCAAGAACCCATGCATCTTTCTTTTAAATTAGGCGGCTGAAGTTGGATCAGGGGTCATCTGACGCCACTGTTTAGGCATCCTCAGATCGTAACTCAGAGAGTCGCCCCTCGTGGTTTATACTCCCTGCTGTGTCTTATTGCACGATAAACAACGACCAGAGTCGTTTATTTCTTAAATATATAATTATCATTCATATCCTGTGAGCTAAAACTATAAATAAATGATATTGAAAAATATATGTTACGTTACGTTCGCACCACTTTATAAATAGCGAACATCTCTTATATACGTATGTGAAGATATCGCGTATCAGGTTGTGTGTCCCTGTACCTCAATCGGGACATTAAACTATGAGAGGGGGCAAATGTATAGCATGTGTTTGAAGCTAAAACATCGATGTGGTATATGATATAATTCCAGAATTACTTTTACTAAAGATTTACTTTGAAATTGCATGTTTTTCTTCTTAGCGACGTTTCAAGGCATGTACTGAAACTTGCCACATGGAGTCATATTCAATGTAGAATTTGTGTCCACTGAATGTGTGTTCCGAGAGCTACAGTAACACATATCTGTGATATGTATTTATTCAAATTTATAATTTGATCAAGTTGAATTTCTTCATGTGAAAAGTAATCGTTCTGAACACTATGGAGTTAAGACAGACGTCGTACATGATTTCAATTCGAAATTTCGACGGTTTGTTTTAATCATATGCACCTAAATGCAATGACATACACACTATGCTACAGAGTGGCGAGTCGGGCTGACGCAATATACTTGTAAAATCTCTTGAAGGATGTCCCTGAGTGATACCCAAAGGCTGGAAGACCAATAGGTGTCACGTTCATGGCCTTTCTGCACACGGCAGCACACGGCAGCACACGGCAGCAGCGTTATAACTTCCCATCTGAGCTTCTGGGTAGCAAGCCCTAGAGACGCTAAACAAAGCACTCTTTGGCAAGCTTCGTCTTGGGATAAATAATGGCTTCGATGGCAACACTTAATACAATCATGAATTAAATTAGATTGGATACTGCCCATGGGTGTATTGTATTTTCCGAAAGAGCAGTTGTACCTTCCGTTTTGTGTACTTTGAATACATTTACGTAAAAAATAGCATTTCCACATATCAATACAGTAAAATCGTTATAACATATATAACAATAATTATGATTTGTTGCATTAATGAAATGTTGTTATTCTGTGCACTACCTTGTCATTATATTGATCAGAATATACTGATCATGACTTCCTTTTCCTTTCTTTGTATTAAAGCTGCTGATTGTCGCATATGGTGTTACGTTGCCATCGATGTTTTTTACCGACGTATTTTGTCAGTACCTTCGCCACCTGGTCTTCTTTCCACAAAGCGAACTTTGCACGTACGGTCGTCGTAGCGTAAGGTCGTTATATGTAGTCCTAGGCAAACAGAGTCACAAATTCATCAAAGTCCAACTTCCCATCACCGTTAACGTCGAAATGGGCAATGAGACGCTTCACTTCCGACAACGTGAACGAACGTCCACATTTGGTCAGCACGTCCCTCAGCTCGTCAGCGTCCAGCAGACCACTGTCATCCGTGTCTATCTGATCAAAAGCCCACCTCATCTCACCACGCCTGAAAAGTCAAGTTCACAGTATCACCCATATCTCCTTTTTTCAAATCGTTGTACTGCTATACTCGGGAAGTGACAACCAAACTTCCACCATACGTTGTGTAGAGAAGATTAGGCTTGAAGGGGAGAATTTGAATTTGAAAGGTTAATTTGGTTTAATTCATTTAAAAAAAATAATAAATGCTCATATATTTACGCACACATATAACGACATACAAAGTTGATAACTCATAGTGGTTGAGAGAGAGAGAGAGAGAGAGAGGGGGGGGGGGGGGGGGGGTGATGGTGGGGGGAGATGGTCTCAAGTACTCTTAGCTTGTTCTAAGAAGCAGCTAATGAGAATTGGTAGGTTACAGTCTGTGGCCTGGCTGTTTGTGTGCATAGATATCCACTACTTGTTTGTATGGCCAGTATTCGAATATCACCTGGCTTAAAATTGTAAAAAATATGTACCTATTCTTAAATTAAATACTTCATCTTTCAATACATTTTCATGAAGACATCTCCTCGAATTTAAGGTGGTGATTTACAGTTTCCACTGTGCATGTTAATGCACGGTGTACAATGATGGTGTTTGCTTGTTTGTTGGGATCATGATACTCTTACACGCTGTTTTTGAATGTGAACATCCCATAATAATTGTTTGGCTATCAGGTGCCCATAAAACACTTTTGTTTTACTGTAAATACGCTTACGCAAAGCTTAACATCTACGCGCCGTGGGTGTGCTGCAAACAGGAATGGCGGAAAACAAAGTTGCCAATTTCATGGAAACACAATATTATCTCTTCGGAGACGTTATCTACAGCAGGACAACGCTCACTTCAATAAGATAAGCATATTCGGTTGGTAAATCTACGGAATCGACACCAAATTGCCATATCAACAGCCCTAACAATTGCTGAGTTTAGATCAATTAGTTGCAGAACTGTACGCAACCGGTTGAGGTGGCACAACCCCGACGTCCAGCGAAGCGCCGGATTTTGCTTCCTTGTCACCGTCAGGCGCGCATAGCATGGGTTTAGATATCATCTCAGGTTCAGAAGACAAGACTGGGGCAGTACAATGTACTGATGAGTCCGGGTTCTGTCTGGACAGCTTTGAAGGTCGTGCAAGGGTCTACAGGCGTCCAGAAGAACGTTTAAGCGACGCTTACGTTACTCAACGTGTAACGGTTTAGGGTGGCATCACAACCCATGGAAGTACACACCTCATCATCGTTAATGGCAATTTGAATGGCGTACACTAACAGGGCCACATCGTTCGAGATCATGCTCTACCGTTTGCCCAAATGCAGAGATGTATCGTCACGTTTGAGCAAGATAATGGCCGCCCGCATGTTGCACGTGTTATAACATATTTTTGAGGCAGCATAACATTGCTGTACTGCCATGGACTACTGTTTCTCCAGACCTCTCTCCTAAAAAACATCTCCAGGTGAAGATAGATCGATGACTACGACAGGATCGGCAGCAGCTGGTAACGCTAGCTCAGTTGCGCCAATCATTGGTTGACAAATGGAACAATATCCCCCAGGCTGTTTTTAATCATCTGGTGTCTTCAATGTTGCCTAGCCTGTATCGACGCAAATGGCGGTCACTCCCGATATTGATATTTGAATTGTTACACCACCCCTCTTTCAGGGCATGTCGGTTTTTCTCTTGTTACCAGGTATGAGTTTTGTCAATGAATATGTTATTATAAAGTATTGATCAGACGAAGGGCCAAGTAGTGGGTTCACAACTTGTTATTTTCAATAACACAAAATTTAGTTCTTTTGTTCGCTAGTTTGTCTTTTACAGCCAAAAGAATCTGTTTCTTAGGATAATCGAGACTGGTTTTTCTCTGGGGTTGACGTTTAATATTTGTACAAGCAGTATGCATGTCCTTACACCTGTGAATCCCACCAGCTTTACTAGTTCGGGGTTAGATTAAAGGATACTCACGAGCGTTTCTCCTGTTCAATATTTGGCATGGCAGCCAGAAATTCATTTAATGTGATGATTAGGTTTTGGTCGGTATCCATGGACATGAAGATATCCTGTGAATAAAAAAATTGTCAACAAAGCTGAATGAATACTGTGTTGACCCAATTCGGGGATTGTGGAGTTGGGATATCGTGTCCCAGAAAATAATATTTAAGCTTCAAGCTTTTGAAGCAAGAAAGAAATTGGCTGCCACAAACATAGGCTTCTTAATCTTTTTTGTTATTTAGGCTCATAGTTTTAATTTCAAAATATCTGTTTTTCTTGCAGTAACTGAAAACATATGACAATGACGATATAACCCCTTCTACATCTGAAACAGTGACGATATAACACCACTACGTCTGAAACAATGACGATATAACAATACTTCACCTGAAACAATGACGATATAACCCTACTACATCTGAAACAATGACGATATTATATTTAGTATTGATTCTGTAACAATAATGATATGTACGACACCCTGGTTACATCACAGCACAGACGGACATATGGGTTCGCGTACATACCACAATCTGTTGTCGTGTCATATCGAACTTGAGTCTTTTGCACAAGGCTGCCAGTTCATCCAGGGTGATGTATCCATTCCCATCAGTGTCCACCTGGTGGAAGAACGCGGTGTACAGCTGTTTCTCCCTCTGGGATAGTAGGGCCATCGCTCGGACTCGGACAGACTTTCAAATATGTCGCACCGTTGTTATACAGGACGACAGTCTGATACGTAGCGAGACTGCTATTTATATCGTACTTCCTGGTTGTGCAGGTTGGTAGACACACAGTCGGTATTTCTGAGCGTTGGTGCCTTGGTGTACACAGCAGACGTGCACCTGCACACAGCAGACTTCCACTTGTACACAGCAGACGTGCACTTGAACACAGCAGACGTCCACTTGTACACAGCAGACGTGAACCTGCACACAGCAGTCTTCCACTTGTACACAGCAGACTTCCACTTGTACATAGCAGACGTGCACTTGTACACAGCAGACGTCCACTTGTACACAGCTGACGTGAACCTGCACACAGCAGACTTCCACTTGTACACAGCAGACTTCCACTTGTACATAGCAGACGTCCACTTGTACATAGCAGACCTCCACTTGTACATAGCAGACGTCCACTTGTACATAGCAGACGTACACTTGTACACAGCAGACTTCCACTTGTACATAGCAGAGGTGCACAGCAGACGTCTACTTGTACACAGCAGACGTCCACTTGTACACAGCAGAGGTGCACAGCAGACGTCCACTTGTACATAGCAGACGTACACTTGTACACAGCAGACTTCCACTTGAACATAGCAGAGGTGCACAGCAGACGTCTACTTGTACACAGCAGACGTCCACTTGTACATAGCAGACGAGCACTTGTACACAGCAGACGTCCACTTGTACATAGCAGACGTCCACTTGTAGATAGCAGACGTCCACTTGTACACAGCAGACATCCTCTTGTACATAGCAGCCGAGCACTTGTACACACCAGACGTCCACTTGTACATACATGTAGCAGGCGTGCACTTGTACATAGCAGACGTACACAGCAGACGTCCACTTGTGCACAGCAGACGTCCACTTGTACACAGCAGACGTCCACTTGTACACAGCAGACGTACATAGCAGACGTCCAAATGTACATAGCAGACGTGTACAGCATACGTCCAAATGTACACAGCAGACTTCCAAATGTACATGGCAGACGTACAAGCAGACTTCCACTTGTACATAGCAGACGTCCACTTGTACATTGCAGACGTCCACTTGTACATTGCAGACGACCACTTGTACACAACAGACGAGCACTTGTACATAACAGATGTGCACTTGTATACAGCAGACGTGAACTTGTACACAGCGGACGTGAACTTGTACACAGCAGATGTACACTTGTACACAGACGACCTTAACGTTTTTTAGTTTCCAGAAAATTAGTAAAATGCATTATCTTGTCACTGGTGTAGGGTTTCTTGTTTTCAATACACATACGTTATGTTGAATACAGTATATAGAAACAGCTCTCACACACACACGCATTACATAGTATACAGTATTAACGAGTGACAGGTGCGACAAATACTGAAAGCCATTACAGTGATATGCGACACAACCTAGGCATATTTGTGCCTAACTTACACTTGCACAAGGTTTATGTCACCGACATGGCTGTAACCAAGAGGGGACAAGCGGCTAACCCTACTGTACCTACTACCGACAGCTTACAACACAACCATGATGACACCTGCAGACAATCTAATGGAGTGAGTATGGTTTTACGCCGCTTTTAGCAATATTCCAGTATAATCACGTCAGGGGACACCAGAAATGGATTTCACACATTTTACCCATGTCGGGAATCGAACCCGTGTCTTCGACGTGACGAGCGAACGTTTTAACCACTATGCTACCCGACCGCCCCCGGAACTCAAGGAGAATTGGAACTCAGAAATGAAAGTGTAATTTACTATGTTTTGTAACTGGTTGAAGCATGCAACTAGGGATGCTTGTCTCTGCCCTTGTCCTTTTTTAACACTGTATTTAAAAAGAAGCATTATAGTACGTATGAATAACGAAGTAATATTCGATTCCTCTTTGGACCCAAGGATATGCATGACTTAAACCTTTAAACGCTATATGTTTGTTTGTTTGTTGTTTAACGCCGCACTCTGCAATATTCCAGCTATATGACGGCGGTCTGTAAATAAATCTAGCCTGGACCAGACAATCCAGTGATTGACATCATGAGCATCGATCTACACAGCTGGGATACGATGACATCAACCAAGTCAGCGAGCCTGACCACCCGATCATGTAAGAACTTCTAACGACAGGCACAGTCGCCTTTTAGGCAAGCATGGGAAGCTGAAGACCTATTCTACCCCGGATCTTCTTAAACGCATTATGAAAGTAATCAGATGTGTCCGTATTGTTATGTGAAGACTGGCGGCATTAGGAATTGTTGGAAATATGTTCCACGATACTGTCGACAAATGATTGAAACACTGGCGGGCAATACAGAGTAAACGCCCATGTTTGATGGTAGCTAATATGAAACAAACAAGAAATAGCTAATCGATGGTGATATATTTGATACGGGTATCATAGGTCGGGTTTGGACCTTAAGCTTAAGTTGGCAGACTGTTTTCAGTCTAGTAACGTTTTGACGTTGGAGTTATCTGTTCCTTGTATACAATGACAGGCTTGATGGTTCGGGATGGGACAAATTCTAGAAGGCTAACTAACTATAATAAGGTGAGGTGAGGTGAAATTGGGTTTAACGTCGCGTCCAAGATTATTGCACTTATATAGCGACGTGCATGTACGAGTATGTGTTTGAGTGGCTGCGTGTACTAGTCCGGACTGATGCCGATTTATAGTGCTAGCTCACTGAGATACCATGCCGCAGTTTTAACATGAATACCCCACTCAGACACAGTATACTGACTCCGAGCCGACCAGTCCTTGTTTTAGCCCCTTAATGCCGAGCGCCGGACAGGGTAACAACAAGTACCATCTTTTAACGTCTTTTGGTATGACGCGGCCGGGGATCGAACCCCGGACCTTCCGCTCTCCGGGCGAACGCTCTACCACAGAGAGCAACACTTGCTAAGCACGGTTTGGATACCTATCTGAAAATACCAAACCCCGGCCAGCCTACAACACTGTTCCGGATTCAAGAGGCCTCTTTGAAGACAGACAACAGTGACACTATTCTGAACTGAAGTGCAATTCGAGAGCCTGTAACGTATTGTTGTTGCCAAATATTTGACCCATTGTATTTGTGTAAACCTAAAACTGTGTTTTAAAATAATTTACTGATTACTCATTGATCTGGTGTGGTTTTGTACTGATTTCACAATTTTCTTCTTAAAGTACAAATTTTTTGGTTAACCACTGCGTTTCAAGTAGGAAATCACATTGTACAATATGAATGAGAATTAAATTTTGTTCATTTCGACAATTGCATGTTTTGGACTTATACCAACTCGTAATGCATAAATAAGGCTAAATGTGTCAAATGGGCTGGTCGTAGACGTTTGCAGGAAGTTTATTTCTAATATTTGAACATAAGCATACAATGTAAAACAGTCATCTTGTGTAAAGGACTTCCTCTCACACATAATGTTTTCCTTACGTACGTGCCTTTCAATTCTTTATAAGTCATACTTTGGGAGCATCCATTTTGATGTGTGTGCGCGTGTGTGCCTGTGTATGCGTGCGTGTGTCAATGGGGGAGTGGAGGAGGGGAGCAGACGTATATCACTGTGCCGCAGGAAAAAGACATAGGAACAAAATAAAACTGCTATTGTTAGATATATTTATTACATTAACACTATTTAACACTATTATATTCTATAAATGATGCTTATTAAGGGGAGGCGAAGTTCTATGTAAGTTTTATGCCAAGTCAATCATGTTCAGGAATTCCTCAAAGTTCAGCCGTCCATCGCCTGACTTGTCCAGTTTCTCCACGACACCTTTGACCATCGACATCCGGAATGGCCGCCCAGAACTCATGATGACGTCGTACAGTTCATCCGTCGTCAGATAGCCGTCACCGTTCTTGTCCACTGTCTGGAAGATCTGTCGCAGGTGGGCGCAACTGTAGATTAAAGAATGTTTATGACAAAGTATTGAAGTCTTGTTCGATTTTCATGTTCGATATATAAAAAATCATTCTTAAGCGATATTTTGTGCCTCTATTGCTGTATAAGCTTTGGCATCCCTCTCACTAACTCTTAACACATAATCACCTAACAAGAAAGGCTGACCTACTTTCTCTGTCCGGTGCTGATGTTGGGCATCTTGTTGAGGAATTCCTCCAGGGAAATCACCTTGTTCCCATCCTCATCCAGCGCTCGGAACAGCTTCTACAACACATGTACAATAGTGTTCCTCAGTGCAGAATGACTCACAGGTTTGTTTAGATGTGATGCATGGAGAGATTGAGTGATTTGGGATTAGCGTCGCTTTGAACAGTATTCGAGTTATATCACGGCTTGCTGATACATTGAACTCAAGGGTTTATTTGCGTTGTGGGCCGATCATCCTACATCACACGTTCCTAGTCTTCATCCAGATATTGCAGAAAGATATGCACCTGGAAATACGTTATTTCACGATAAATCATTTGAAGTGTTTCAGCTTAAAAATGAGTATTTCGGTTTTTGCTGGCTAAGGAAGCCTATAGTGTTTTGTCCGTATTTTACGATACCGGATGTACCGGATGTTATACTGCGAGCAACCGCAGTGATATGCTGCACTTAAATGCGGGATAATGAAAGTTGGAGCACGTGCAATTGTGTTGTGTTTTTTTCTGGGAGTTCAGTCTGTGTCATGCGAACTGTACATCATTGTTCTGGCATGTCGAGGGGGCAAAGGTGGCTCAGTGTCTAAGGCGCCGGGATTCGCTGTGCAGAGTTGCGTCCCTTGGGCACGCCAGAAACCTATGATTGTGGGTTCGAATCCCGGTTCGCCCCGATTATGTTTCTAGGTTTGTCAGCACCATACCCGTGCTCGTGGGTTTCACCGAAGTGGTAAACGTCTGAGACCTGCATCACTTCGGGCTTTCCTCCCACATTAAGCTGACACGCCGCGATATAACTGGAATACTGTTAAAAGCGGCGTTAAACCGAACTCACTCACTCACTCAATCTGGCATGTCGTCATTTCTGGACATCCGAACATATGCTCGCAACTTGATACAATATTACTAGATACTGTAAATCAGTGTCTAACATGGACATAACTTGAGGCATTCAGCTAAACAATTTAGCAAAGACACTAGCCTAGCGGGATCAGTTTCCATAACTGTGCTTGTAGAACTCGGAGCTTGGGACCTTTTCCTCAATTTAAAACAGATTTGGCCCAAATAAGTCCGTATTGTTGACTTGTGTCATTTTGTCGCTAAGTGTACATCTGACTCTGCACTTCGTAACGTTATGACAGGACAGGCATACTCTAAACAAACGTGACGTCTCATAGACAAGGGTTAGAATAGTTTCCCTTTAATAAAGGGAAGTTTCTCTAGCGGGCCATGGAGGCGGTCTTCTAAGGGCGTTAATAGGCCGATGGATTGCCGCTAAAGACAAGATGAAACAATATGTGAAGGCAATTGTTATTTTGCGTATATGTACTAGTTACGCTACTGTCTAAGAAACAGGTTTCAGTTGGAACTATATTGACTGGCGTCACTGTCCGACTGACATACCTACGACATTTTGAAGTAATACATATCAATGCGCACATTCCAAGAAACTTGCATTGTTTAGGAAATGTTTGAAAAAAAAGACAACAGTTATTTCGACGACAGAATGTAAGAATGACATTAAATGACAAAAAGGCTATCACGCTTGTGTGTTTTGGGATAGTAAATATCCTGTATTAGGAATAAACACCATGTGTTCCTAATACAGGATATTAAAGCTTGTCAATTCTATTAACATCCTTAGTCTTCGTGGTCTAGTGGATGGAGCGTCTGCCCGGAAAGTGGAAGGTCGTTGGTTCGATCCCCGGCCGCGTCATACCAAAACAAGATGGACAAGGTACTACGTGTTACCCAGCCTGGTCCTCGGCATTGAGGGGTTACCACAAGGACTGGTCGGCTCGGAATCAGTATACTGTGTCTGAGTGGGGTAGACGTGGTCAAACAATGGCATGGTATCTCAGGGGGCCAGCACCATAACATCGCCATTAGTCCGTACTAGTACAAGCAGCCACACAAGGACACACAGACGCACGCATCCACGCACACGCGCTATATAAGTGCAATCAATAATCGTGAACACGACGTTAAACTCCATTTGAGCTCACCTCACCTTAAGGAGGCTGTGAGAGGGTGTATGAGTGAGTATGGTTTTACGCCGCTTTTAGCACTATTCAAGCAACATCACGGCTGGAGACACCAGAAATGGGCTTCACATATTGAACCCTCATGGGGAATCGAACTCGGGTCTTCGGCGTGACGAGCGAACTAGGCTACCCCACCGCCCCTAAAGAAAATAATGTTAACTACATCTGCGGTAGACATACGATTACAGCGGTGATAATGGCTTGGGCATATCGTAACAAAACATCACGTGATATTTTGTGGCAAGGGAACTATAGAGCTGAATCACTTTACCACATTGCCCTTAGTGGTACGTGACAGTGTACATGGAGTGATTGACATATTTTGTAGAGTCTATTGATATCGACACTTACTTCGAAGTTAAATCATTGAAGGTCAATGGCAACCGACTCGAGCAAGTTACGGCCATCGACAGGGTGACGTTTATAATGTTGCAGAACTTCTGTACTATCAATACTTGATATTTGATATATTTACATATTTCAACAACCTTCGTAACAAACGCAGACTGAGACCCAGAGTGAACGAATTCCTTTTGTGAGGGAAACGGATTTAGTTTAACGCCGTTTTAACATTATTTTAGTAATATCACGCACGGCGTGTCAGATTCATGGGGGAGGAGGGGACACGGGTCGCCCAGTCGTCTAAGGCGCCGCGATTCGCTGTGCAGAGTTGCGTCCCTCGGGCACGCCAGAAACCTATGATTGTGGGTTCGGAGCGAACCTAGGTGTAAAACGTGAGTGAACTGTAAAACATATATTAAAGGGGCACAAATCTCTGGGGCTTCCCGGCTGTCTGACACTCCCCGCTAGGGCTCACTCGCTGCCGTGAGTCGACTTGCTCGCTGACGCCCCTGATTGTGACAAGAGACTGGGCTACCGCCTGCAAGGACAGCTTATAACAAATTAACTTTGAGGCAATATGTATTACGCATTTCTGAACACTGGTTACCCGTGATCTATGAAGATTTCGTTTTTTACAAAGGGCGCTTGTAAATCTATTTCTTCAACCAAAACAAACAGACAAAAAGAGCGGTGGAAGTTCATAGGATGTCGTTATTTGTAAATATCCCTGATGGTTAAAGTTTAGTATAAAAAAATATCCCTGATGGTTAAAGTTTAGTATAAAAAAATATCCCTGTTGTGAAAGTAATTTCGGATTGTGTGGATAATACGATTACTACTCCCTTGTTGTCATCCATGTTCCCTGGTATAACCCTACACCTATCCTGTATTTGTCGCCACTCACTTGATGAACAGTTAATGAATTTATTACTGTCAGGTATAGTAGTAGCGCCACTTGCCACAGGTTCCCATTTGGCATTTCTTGTGTCTGGGGGTAATTATTAAATCTAAATGAAGATCTGAAGTGGGGTGAAATGTATCTTATGTAATATCCATGTGAAAGCGCAGAAGGAGAGGAATGATCAGTTGAATTACAAAAGCAAATCAATCAAAGGATTAACCTAAATAAGTTCATTGTTTAACCAGTGTTATCGTGGATTTGTCAGGATTTGTCCACGCAATTGGGGTCGATGACATGCATCAACCAAGTCAGCGAGTCTGACCACCCGGTCCCGTTAGTCGCGCTCTTACAAGCATAGTCGCCTTTTACGGCAAGCATGGGTTGTTGAAGACCAATTCTACCCCGGGTCTCCACGGGTCTTGTCAGGGGTAAGTGTTTACATGTGTAGATTTACTAAAGCAGACAGAATACATCCATATCTTAACCAAAAATACGTCGATTGCCCACTGTTATCTAACTCAATGGGTTTTTTTAGGGACCGTGGACATGAAAATAGTGTCACGTGTGCTACCTCAGCTGACCAACAAGACTTGCCACCTATTTGAAACACCTGACACAAAATTACGTGACCGGTTGAGAGTCGAATACAAGTTATAACATCCAGAAACGCTATATATATTCTGGATTTTAGATATAGATTGTCAACAAGACACGTGACACCGACCAAGTGTCTTTGTACAGCTGCAGATGTATGGGATATTTTCTCTATTTGGATATTGACGGATACATTCCTCGACCAAGGTAATTGCCTAATATTTTACATATAACTTTGGTCGGTTGTATTTAAGATATTTGCATTCTTAATCATTCTTGTTCCTCTACGTTTTTGTTGGGAAGTTCTTCGACGTGAGACAGAGTCGTTATTTTCTCAAGCCTTTTCGTTTGTAGGCGTGTATATCTTACAGTCAATACTCAGGTGAAATAAGTCAAAATAGTGTAAACGAAAATCGCACAATACAAACAGGTGACCTATCAAAACTTCGTCACCATTCTCGATGCTACCCCCAAAGATACCTACATTTCCTTATTATTAAATTTTGGTGACCACGGTAACGATACGCCCTAAAACGATCAATAAAAGCGACAAATGCGCTTACGGTTGGCGCAGCACTGGTCGTGATCTTGCCGAGATTTCTGGGATATCATCCGGGTATCCACGGGGAAAGAAAACAATAACTAAGGCAACAACCAGTCCTGGTGAATTGTCAGAGATCTGTGCCCCATTAAGTATTGTCTTAATATAACTGAAAACTTAAAATCTAACTGAAAATAATACTTTTTTAAATTTACGAATCACATTTTACAGGGGAGCAAGATATGCAGGAACCGGGGACTCAGGGACTGCCTCCGCCACCTGTACCCAATCGGTATATGAAGACTACCATGATGTTTCGTGTAGCAAAACATATGTCACCAACATCCTGTCAAATCAAGTCACCTCAACAATACCAATTGTATGGAAATATATATTTGACTAAGTCCAGCGTATACACCGGATCTCCAAACTCCTAAGTCAGATGCCCACCAACCTTCACTTCCTTCCTACTGAGTTTAAATCCGAGCTGCTGACACAAAGCTTCCAGTTCTCGAAATGAGAGGCAGTCGTCACTGTTTGCGTCCGCCTTCTTGAAGAAGCCCGTGTACATCGCCACCTCGTGGTCATAAAGGCGACATGATGCGGACGACCCTTGTTCAGACATTTGTCCTTTTTAAATCCAAATGTCTCTTCAACTTCAAAAGTTCTGAAATGTGACAAGCCAAATATGGCTTCTGATCTTGCATACTATTACATGCAGACTTCACAATATCTTCCGTCAACACCAGGACACACATACCCATGACAGGTCACTGAGGAACATGCTCACACCCCACAGCTTTAGACGGTGGCATTAAAGCAATAAAAGATAGTGTACGTCAAAATGGTGAAAAGCCATGCCTCATTAATCCGCCTCGCACCTCAGAAGGTATACAATGGAATTCCTTAGAAGTGCAAACACATGTGTAAAATTATCAGAAGTGGGTCTAGTTTAGAAATTGGTGTTATTATTGTACAATGCAATATCCCAAGTCATTGACAGCAAAGACGGGCCTGAACGAGAGTCTTTTAATACTGTTACTACTCAGACTTGATCGAATAGCGTTACAAATCACTTAACATATCCAAGAAATGCTCATTCAGCCATATCCTCTTTGAGCATGCTCTTTCTACGAAGAATTCAAAGAGTATCATACTACTCTTGCTCTTAAGTTGTGTGATCAGGTTTACACCATTCAAGGCCTCGGCAAAGCTTTCAAAACGTTTAAGGGTAGTCATTTGCAAATTTGACCCATTAGTGACAAAATATGTCCGATGCAATTCCCTATTTTGACTTGTATCCGTTTATTTTCAGGTGAACAATAACCTTGCCTATGCTTGTGCTTGTGACGTTTCGCCAACACCTGATATCATCGACAAAATCTAAATCTGATTACTTTCATAAAGGTTCTGTAAAGGTTTACATTTTGCAGATACTGTGGTCCAAAAAGGGACCTATTTGTAACTCTCCCTTCATATGCACTCCTAGCTGCTTAATTGGACCGCCTCCGTGGTCTATTGGTAGAACGTCTACCCGCAGAGCGGAAGGTCCGGGGTTCGATCCCCGCCTGCGTCATACCAAAAGACGTTAAAAGATGGTACTTTTTGTTACCCTGTCTGCCGCTCGGCATTTGGGGGGCTTAAACAAGCACTGGTCGGCTCGGAGTCAGAATACTGTGTCTGAGGGTATTCGTGTGTGTGTGTGTGTGTGTGTGTGTGTGTGTGTGTGTGTGTGTGTGTGTGTGTGTGTGTGTGTGTGTGTTTATACAACATGGTTTTGCCTTTCAAGCTCCAGATCTTTTAGACTGAACATCAACTGATCTCTGAGATATACCGTGGTTTTAGTACCCCTTGTATTACATTCTTTATTCCGATTTGAATCTCCAAATTTTCAGCACGTATAGCACGCAATCCTGTGTACAATATTCGATAAAAAATCTGCGAGTGACGATTTATCTCGACAGAGCGAGGAAATTCGGCCGCTTGGGTGTCGAAATGTACAAAAGCACCACCCTACGGCGCCCTACGTAACTGCTATCACGTTTCCTGAAGATGCGCGAACGTCAGGCTTCCTTACAAAAGTCACTGACTGGGCCAAGAGGATTGCGTCCAGTTGTGGCAGTCGATGCTCTAGAATTGGCGAAACATCGGACACGACGCGATACACAAAGTTGTTGGTCATTTCCGTAGGCCAAGACGCGGGCGAGGTGAGTAATGCGGGCCTGGTACCGCCAAGACTAAGTGGTTAGGGATCCGGTCCAAGAGTCCTCTAGCATGTTAATGAAGAAGCAACCCGCCCTGCTGGGAATCGTTACCTCCTGGGTCGCTGTCCGACACCCTAACCATGAGATAGACTTGGTATAACAGGAAGAGCACTCACCCTCAAACTCTCATTGGAAATGGCCAGCATTTTTATCATAGGCGCGACTTCAGTGTTTTCCGAAAGCCCCAATGAAAATAGACAACTTGAAAAAAGCAAAGTCGATAGTACAATTCCGACTGAATCATGAGCATGTGTTTATGAATCACTGTCAATTGGTGATGATACCAGGTGTTCGCGAAAAGGTGAGCGTATCCTGCCCCACCGATGGAACCCATCACAAACACATACAAAGGCAAGCCAATTGTTCACCTGAAAGACAAACACCTAAAGGTTCATCTGAAAGACAAACACCTAAAGTTTAACATCATCAGTACGAAGCTCTGATTGCAATCATTGTGTGATCTACAATTCTGCTGCTTTGACAACCTTTCGTTGCAAATTGCAACGGTCGATCGCAGATATAGCGGCTTCGTCGCTTTCGACGTCAGTCACGCTGCTCAGCCGACTGCACTTGTTTTGTGCATACAAACGTGAGAAATATGTAAGAACTTGCTGTGGTACCATCCAGTGCTCCCGAGGGAGCAACCGTTTTACCTTCCGCGAGACTACTGCCGGGTCTTCTTTCGCGCCCGTTTGCACACCCGTCGTAAACTCTTTCAATAACAACTGACAAAACTCATGTGTTTCTTGGCCGTCTTCAGGTCCCAACAAGGTTCAATATATCCTTCAGCTATTGAAACAGTACTTGATGAAGCTGCAGATGGTAAGTCACTTCAGAAATTAATGTCTTTTGTCTTATGCAAAGGACCCGTAAAGATCCGGGTTAGAACAGGTCTTCACCAACCCATGCTTGCCGTAAGAGGCGACTAACGGGATCGAGTGATCAGGCTAGCTGACTTTGTTTATTCATGGCATCGTATTCCAATTGCATGGATCGATACTCATGATGTTAATCACTGGATCGTCTGGTCCAGACACGATTATTTACAGACTGCCGTCATATAGTTAGAATATTGCTGAATGTGGCGTTAAACAACACACAAACAAAATCGCATGCAAAGTTAATGTGACTGGTGATTCCATGTCCTTCGTTGACATACCGCTGAATATGGGATTTCATCGCGAGTTTTAGGTCACAAATTTTCTTGCCCGATTGTACCTGGGAGCAAGAATAGAGAATCTTTGGAATGCCGGGATATATCCTTAGCTATCAAATGGCAAACTATCCTGATCCAACTGGATATAGGTTTTTCTAATTCTCAAAAACGTCTGTTGAGACCAAGGCACGAATGCCCCTGCACACTTTTCGTTGTGGCTGGATGCAGTGGATAATAAATATACTTACTAGACCCAGCCCCAGTTTGTACCGATGTACAGGACAAATACTCAATCGGCCCAGTTCACTCCGCCTTGGGATCCAACAAACCCACACGGAGACAGACCAGTTACCATGCTGTCTTTACGTCGCTTATAGGCACGTTGTGCCTTCGAAAATGCGCGCGAACGGCCTTGTAGCGTGACTTCGAGTTGCCGACGCTCAAATCATTCTTGTACGAAGGCAATAATCTACATTTTAAGGTCGAAAATGTCGAAAATTCACATCGAAATGTGTCGGCCGTCGCCATTATGGGCGTCTCAACGAAGTACAAGAGTGAGAGGAGCAAGGTTTCAAATCTTCACCTGGTTGTTTGTAGCGACAGTGTGACGCTTCGCATGAGCTTCCTGGATTGACTTCGTTATTGAATCACCCTTAAAAGTACTTTGATGGTGTATTAAAAAAGGGCAAGGCATGAGGGGTGGGGGAATGGCAGAGGGAAGAGTTATACATGTGCCTATTTCATGAGAACTGAGGGCGTGAATTACAAGAGCCAGCTCCCTGTATGAAAATGGTATGTGCAGAGGTCTGAACAGGGTGACTATTTTGGTATCTTGTATACCGGGCAACTTTGCAAGCTTAAGCCGTCTCAAGCATATCTTCATGTCCGGGTTTATCGGAAAGCATTGGTGGTCAGCTTTCAATAAATCATTGAGTAAAGAGTAAACATTAATCGAAGACTTCACGAAACAATCAGAAAATATAAAAAAATTGAAGACGATTTACACCAAAATTACCTGCATGACTTCGGGCTTTCCGCATACATTAAGCTGCCACGCCGCGGAACTGGAATACTGTTAAAAGCGGCGTTAAACCCCCCCAAGCCCCCCACAAAGTATTTGTTATCAAGAGTTCCTAGACGGAAGAAAGGAGGCCACTACGTGTCTGTGTCAACTTTGGCGATTATATTGTGTCGATGTCTCAATGTCTCCTTACATTGTATATAGTTGTTTATAGTCGATGTTAGTTAAGAGGAGAGGGTGAGTACGTGTATTTCAATCCCCCAACCCGTCGCTGTTTGAAAATCGTCTAATTTTGGCCTCTAACACAAGATTGGAACTGATTAAGATCCTTAATTTGTCAGCACAATACTCGTACCCTCGTGTACTCGCCTGCAACGGTCACTTTGGGCTTTTCCACCACATTTAGCTGACATGCAATGCTAGCACTTAAATATTGATCAAAGCGGCGTTTAACCAAACTGACTCTCTCGTTTACCCGACTACGAAACTACGCCGCACCTGACAACTAACCCTTTTAATACAAGCAACAAAACAATTTCCCTGATCATATTAATTAAAATATACATTTCCAATGCATGAGAATAACCAGCCTAGATTATCCGTCTAAAACAGATTCCATTTGGCGTAAAGGGCCAAAATACTATGTGAACATTTTATGTACGGACCACTTAAAATCAATGGTTATCTCCCAAAACCCCTACATCCCATTTCCCTACAACCCAGTTCCCCTACAATTAGTTAAAACAACACGCGGCATTTACCTGTCTGGCATCATGAACTCACCTTAAGGAGAGATTAAGGTCTGGAGTAGAGGTAGTAGAAATGAAAGGGGTAGAGCTTTAGCGGATTAGGGGACTTAAAGGAAAGTTAAAAAAAAAAATTAATGTAAGTGTAATGAAAGATGCCTGTATGATGAGAAGACAATTTTTAGAAATTACAAAAATAACAATAGGAAGAAACAATTATTACACTGAGAAACTGAGATGAGACGATTTACAGTTGAGATGAAAAATGAACATTTTGTTATAATGTATTATGAATTTTGAAAAATGAACATTTTATTATAATGTATTATGAATTTTGAAAAATGAACATTTTATTATAATGTATTATGAATTTTGAATAATATCGTAATCGTAATTAAATATTTATCTCAATCTATTCGAGTTTCTTGGGTTGTTCCATTGTATGAAATAGGTAACAGACTAGGGATTAGCAGTGCCATGGACCGTGAACTTTGTTGTCTTAAGCTGTAGGGGAAATGGGATGTAGGGGTTTTGGGAGGTTACCAAAATCATCGATGACCCGGGGTGTTCGGCAAAAGGGTGAGACTATCCCCATTGTATGATG